ATAAGATGAATATAAGGAATTTGATGTTTAAAACTATAAAATAATCTTAATTTTTGTACAAGAAAATTATTGAATAAACCTAAAGAAGGATTGATGATTGAAATTCAAGTGAGTATAGTACTGATTACACAATGTTACTAATGATTTTGTGACTAGACATACAAAAATATATCGTCTCCTAATTAGGCCGAAAAAAGACAAAAATAATAAATCTCCTAAACATAAATTTTTAAAAGTTTCAAAAAGCAGATACATAATAATATTTTACTATACTTTTGGTATTCACTAATTAAATTGCATGACTTAGTCAAATTTTCTATTAGAACATATGTACATATAAATTACATTTTTTGTTAATTTTAGAACGCGTATATTATCATAAACAATTAAAAGTTGTCAAATATTCTTTTGACTAAACCACTACAAATATTCCCCTATTTTAGGGAATTATTAGAAGAACTCTTCTTGTATTTTACTGGCAATTGTTAATAATTTTCAATAAACTACTACTAATTGTGTCACTTAAATCACTAACTAATGTTTATTCAAAATAATCGATAGAATAAAATATTTTAAGTATATTTTGCAAATAAAACACAAATATTGCAATGTTAACTATAACTACCCGAATTTTGTAAATATCATTGTCTTCAATTTAGATTAAAAGCAAATGAGTCACCGATTAATTAACTAAAATTAGTATCAATAAATTTACAATTTGGAGAACTTACCAGAAGTATTCAGAGATGTAATTAAATAACACCACTGCAGGGCTGAGATGGCCTCCGCAGTAAAACTGATTGTTAAAGTCATCGTCAACTTTATATACTACTCCAAACAATATGTTATTAGCAGACAAATCAAAATGTAAACAGCAGACATGCGTTGGATCTAAAACTCCAATCTTTAACAATTTGATATCTTAATCTATATCAAAATATTGCTAATTCGACTTCGTGTATTTTCAGCTGACATTTAAGTAAGTTACTGCGTATGAGGTTTATTTTTTGATCCTACAAGATGTGAATTTTCTACTTTACCTTGTTTCAAAAAATTTAATTCTATTATTTATTTAGGTCGTTTCCGAGCTTATTGTCATTGAAGCGCTAAGAGAGAGAATTTTCAATTTTGTGAAATGTTTTACAGCATGTCAGGAAATTTGATTATTAAAATTTCAATTTCCCAAATGAAAACTACATATTTTCGTTAGAATTCATAGTAATCCTGTGGAATATTCTAAACCTCAAAAAAATATATTATTGTACATATGTAAAAAAAACGTAAAAGACACGAAGATATTTGATTATTTGAATTCGCTCAAGCTTCAAAGTATAAAAAAATAAGTTAAGAAAACTAGTTTTTTAACAATATGCAAGATTTAATGGACGACTTTGATAAAAACAAACATATTATTAATTTATTTTTTATAGTTAATTTGTAATAAAATACAGACTCTAATTACTTATTTATTAAAATTTGGCAACGATTAAAATCTAAATATAGACGTTTTTTTTATGCAATTTTAACAACAAAATAATCTTACAACGTCAATACTAAAAAATATTATTTTAGGACGTTCAAGGTAGCTCAATTTATTATTTTCTCTTCAGTTAAGTGAATTAGTTATTTAACATTTTCTTGCTGTGTAGGATATACATAAAACTTATACAGAGATACTTCAAATTTGATAGGCAAACAGATAGATATTTAATTTTTAACTGAGTAAATCATTTTTCGATCTAAAGTCTGAAACATCTTTATTAGTTAAAAATAAAAAATATATTGGTAACTCATTATTTTTCACTACCTTTGTAGTTACATCACAATTTTTAAATTTCCAGACAGATAAAAATATTTTTTATCTTTTTGAATAAATAGTAAGTTCATTTTACTTCTATTCTTTTCAGGATTAATCAGGTTATAAATAATTCATAGGGACAGAAGTGATAAGACAAATTAGGCAAAATAAACGAAGAAAATTTTTACTTAAGTTAACTATGTAGAATATGTATTTTAGTATTGTTTAAATTAGAATTCGAATTTTCAATGCCATATTTGTAATAAAAAATATATTATTGTAAATTTTAGTCAAATAAGTATGAATTTTTTTTTCACGACTGCCACTTGTTAGAATTAGAATTATTGTAATTGAGTACTTAATTATGTGTGCACTCTACCCCGTTTTGATTTATGAAAAGGTCTATTTTTTAAATTTCGAATTCTCCTAACGAGGTAAAATTTAAAATTAAAATGGCAATTAATTTTCTTTTCTATTTAACTGTAACAAATTACCTGCCTTCTTATACCAGAAACCGTAAAATATTGTCCAATTTTTGAAAAACTTCCAGTTATCTCTTTTATATTAGCATTAAATAATAATATGTATTCGTAATTTTGTTTTTTTTGACAAAATAACCACTTTACGTGTAAAGGAAAAACCATTTTCGCAATAATTTTATGCCTAATTAAAATGTTAAGTCAATAGTTAAGCAAATTTTACTGAAGTTGCGACACTGATTTTTCAGTATAGCTATTAATCAAATGCGACGTCAGAATCTTTCAGAAAGAAATTTCATAATATTACACTTTACAGCAAGAGTTTCTGTAGTATAGGATAGGAGCATTGCACGGCATTTTAAAATTATGTTCTAATCACTAATAACGATATGGGATTATAACAAGTTTATGTTAATTTCTTTTTCATATATCAAAATTCGAAATTATTAAGAAATTTTGTTGGAAATGATTTCGTTAATTTTGATTAATTCACGTTTTATTTTCTCAATAAAAATTCTAGGAAATAGGTGATTTATGCAATAAAGGTGTTTATAAAAAATAACATTTCTTATTTTTTTCTGACTTAAATTAAGTTAATACGTTGAACAAACATTTTAAAGTCGATTATTTAAGTAAATATTGAAAATTAGATATAATAATTTGCTATTTTGATTCTTGTAAGCACGAATGACGTGACAATAGCGTTCAATGCTATGACTTAAAACTTAATCCTTTTAGAATTATATTGTAGGTTTTTCCATAGGCAAATATCGCGCAATTAAATTACCTATTTATACCTATATGAGTACTTACAAAATCTTACTAAAAATCTCTACTAGTATAACAAATAATTATGTTGCAACAAAAGTACGGAATAAAGAGGAAAGGGTGATGAATTGTCAGTAATTACAGTGTTATTTTTTAACATGAATAATTATTCAAAATAACACTAAGTATTAAAAAAATAGCAACTGCAGTATCATTTATTATACCTCTAGTCTATAGCTATATGTATAGTAAGTAAATAAAATGTGTATTGTAAATCAAATTTATTATGATTTACATTGACAAAAATATTGTAAATATGTACTAAAGAAAAAATTTAATATATAAATAATTAAATATAAAATATTTAATTTTAAGCAACGGGATAGGAATGAAATGTGTAGGTATGTACGTACTATCACCATGAATAAATACCTAAATTTATTAAAAAAATTGAATTGCGTTAATTTGTAGATAATAAAATTGTTTTATTCAGATTATCGATCTAAGTGCAGTTTTGAGGTTGACCTGCTAAATAAAACTAAAACAACAATGGAAGACAATAAAACAATCACTCACTTGGTCATTATTTGGAGGTAGAAAATGTTGTTTAAATTATTCTGGAAAAATGGTCTGATGAATAAAAATTCATCAGATTTTCTATCTTCGTTCATAGAAAATGGATTTCTCGAGAAAAACTTGAAAATGTACACAACGCTTTTAACACATGTTCAAATGTTGCCGGATTTATAAAACACTTACGCAGCGGTCACTATGTCTCATTGTTAAACAATGGTTATAAGTTTAAAACGGTTTATCCTATTTGTTAACTATACAAGGTCTTTATGGCCCCTATTCTTTGTAAATCGCTATTAGCTACTTACTTTATGATCACTGAAAATGGTCGTGTAGGTATATAATAATGGCGTTAAAATTTAATATAGACTTTTTAATTTTTTGGTTCCTCCTTCGTGAACGTTTAAATAGAAATTCTAATTAAGTCGAATTGTCCGTTAACAACCAGGAAAATACAAATTAGCAATCTTTTATTCACAGATAGTTTCTTCGTTTGAAGTTTAATTTTAAGTAGGTTTTGTACCCATTTCGCTAAATGATTAAATCTATAGAAGTTAATATAAAAATTGGTTAAAATATATATGAATAGAATGACAAACGACTTTACTAGTTTAGTATTAGGTTATGGAAAACATTGGTGTAAATATGCAAGAAAAATGAAGGCAGGTAAATTGTACCTCTAAAAAAATACTTCATCTAAAATTATCTTATATTTCATCGTTTTCCCAAATCTATTTGAAGTATTTTACAAAAAAAAACTGCTAATGAACTGCATTCGAATTCTGGATATTACGGAAAGTTTGAATGTTTTCAGAAAAAAGCGTAGGATGCCTAACTTGAAATTTGTGTAAATAAGACTTGAAAGTAATGTAGGAATTCCTAATAAAATGTAAATGTACTCATTCAGAAAATACACGGATGCAAATCAGGTAAGTTTTATTGACGCTCTTATCTTTGTAGGCATAATTATAAGCGACAATTTTATACCTTATACCTCAGTCTTTTATATTTCGGTAGAATTCCAAATAAGTTTTTATTGCAGTCACCATTAATAAAATGGAACTCAAGAGAGGTTCTGGAAAATTTGGTACTATATTTATTATGAATCATCAATAATGATGATGGTAATCACTTAGGTAAAGTATTATATTATTTTCTTTATATTATAATTTATTTTTTTGTATTATTTTTTGCAATATTTTGCTTACGCTCTTGGGAACCCCCTGTATTTATTTACTAAAATAATAAAAAACAATGGAATTATTTTTGAATTTTATAATTTGTAAATATAATTAATTGTATATAGAATATCTTACCGTTTGTTTTGAGATCCGTTTTGAAAACTTGCAATTGCACGTGAAAAAAAATATTTTTAACATGGAGTAAAAGTAAAAATTAAATTTTAAATTCTTAGGCAACTCAATTGACACAACAAATGTTGAGTAAACGTGGTTGCCTAGATCATACTCCAATAGGTTTTACAACTTACAACATTGAATTTGTGTTTTTGATTTTGTTGACGTGAAATTTAATTTCACCATGTATTTAAGTTTGTAAATGCCTTACAGTATATTGGCAATTTATGCTGTTAACTTGAGTTCAACGTTCATAAATTGTTAAATAAATTGGCCACATTATCCGTCGTGCATGTGCTGTGATATGTGTTTACATCATTTAAATATTGTGTTATTGTTTTTATGTTAGCGTTTATGAATGGGTGTCTCTAATGAGATGATTTCAATTTAGGAATTTAGTAATCTACACACTCTCTGATTTATGTCTCTCGGTTTATAAAGCAACAACAATACAGTATCGCAATAACAAAAATGTATTTCTTGAAAAGAAAATTTGGTGCGATACCATCGCAGGGTGTTTACAAGATATTAAGGAGAAATTTAGGAGCCAACGAATTTTTAGATTATCAGTTCATCCAGAAAAGCAGAATACCCACTATGCATTTCCAGAAGTCCTTACCAAGGCTGCCGATACCTCAGTTAGAAACCACCTGTGATCGCTACTTAGCCGCTCAAAGGCCTCTGTTAATCGATGAGGCTTACAGGAAAACCAAAAGCAATGTAGACCAATTCAGAAACACGTCTGGAAAGCAGCTACAAGAGATGTTGAAAAACTACGATAGGGTGAACAAGCACACCAGCTACATATCGGAATTCTGGTTCGATGCATACTTAAGAGATCGTAAACCTATACCGATCAATTATAATCCTATGCTAGTCGTGCATAAAGACGAAAAACCGGAATATAACAATCAGCTTATCAGAACGACTAATTTAATTGTAAGCTCATTGAGGTTCTACAAGTCACTACAGTCGAGGATCCTGGAACCTGAAGTTTTTCACTTGTATCCAAAAAAGAGTGATACTGATACGTTTCGATCTATCTGCAGTAAATTACCTACTTCTGTATCTTGGTACGGTGCCTATATGTTTAATGCATATCCGTTAGATATGAGCCAGTATCCTAATTTATTTAACACTGCAAGGATCCCAGAAATCGATAAAGACCGGCTGTATCACAATTCGAATGGAAAACACATTACAGTTCAGCACAAAGGCCACTTCTACGCCTTCAGGGTGCTCACCGAGAGTGATGAGATCCTGCCAGCCGAGCAAATTTTGGCTCGATTGAAGTTTATCTTGACTGATCCACTTCCTAAATGCGAATTTCCTATAGGCATTTTAACAACTTTAAACAGAAACAAATGGGCCACAGCAAGATACGAGCTACTAGCCAATAACAATGAACAAGCATTAAAATACATCGATTCTGCTTTATTTAACGTATGTCTGGATACTGAGAATATAGGAGACGATCCGTATGCTGTTGTTAGAAATTTCTTACACGGTGATGGGGAAAATAGGTACATAATTACTTTCATACAAGTCGACATCACAGAAGAGTGATGATACAAATCAAAAATCGAATTTCTTAGTGAATATGTTTTCTTTCAGATGGTTCGACAAATCGTTTTCTCTACAATTATCCCAAGACGGGCATGCTGCTGTTAATTTCGAGCATGCTTGGGGAGATGGAGTCGCAGTATTACGATATGTACAAGATATTTACAAGGATTCAAGAAACAATCGTTTTGTTACACCTGAAACAAAACCTTATGATGATGATATTTCTAATGTAATAAGGTTGGGTAAGTACATTAAGTTGGTGGTTTCTTGATTCATAAGTTCTTGTTTTGTACCGTTAGAGTAGAGTAGTCTAGGGATGTTCTTACATTTAGATAGCCCTGAACTGTTTCAAGTGGTCCTAATTTATTTCTCAAATGGGTCAAAATGATTCTGGACAATCCTAAATAATAATTTTGAACAAGTCCAAATAGAATAGTACCTAATAGAGTTTAAACAATTAAAAAATATGCTAATTAAGTAAGATTAAAGTACTAATATGTTACTGATGTACAAAACAAGAATTTTTCGGAGAGGGTACGAAAGTTTGGTACATTTGTATAATAATTAGATATAAATAATAGATTTAATTTTAGATATGAATTTAAATGATAAAATCAAATCCACGATTAATGAAGCTAAGAAAGAGTACAACAAGACATGCAAAAGTTTGGATATAGACTATTTGATTTTCAATAAAATTGGTAAAAACGTATGCAAAAAGCTGGCTGTAAGTCCGGATGCAATAATGCAATTGGGCTTCCAAGTTGGCTATTACAAGATGACTGGGAAATTTGTTCCAACTTACGAATCTTGCAGTACGGCGGCTTTTAAACACGGAAGAACTGAGACTGTTAGACCCTGCACGAATGCTACAAAGGTGATTTTATAATTTATAATAAGTTAATTTTTAATATATATTATTTTTAGGCTTTTACTCTTGCTGTGAATTCCAAAAACAAGCCGCCTGTAGGTGAATTGAAGAGCATGATATCGGAGTGTTCGAAAGTTCATAGTCAGTTAACAAGAGAGGCAGCTATGGGTCAAGGATTTGACAGGCACTTGTTTGCTTTAAAGAAATTTTCCGAGAAAACCAATACGTTAGCTAACATTTTCGAGGATCCCGATTACGCTCATTTAAATAACATTGTTTTATCAACTAGTACCTTAAATTCTCCTGCCATTTTTGCAGGTGGATTCGGACCAGTTATTAGAGAAGGATTGGGCGTGGGGTATGTTTTGATATTACGTTTTGATCAAATATTAATTCATTTTTTTAGATATATTATTAAAGATGATGAATTGGGAGTTCTAGTAACGAGTTATCCTCCATATCACAAGAGTTCGGACTTTATAGAAGCCTTGAAAGGTACTTTTGAGGAACTGGTATACCTTTTGCAAAAGGATTGAAAGAATTCATTTTATGGAATTATTGTCTATTTTGGGGTGGTATTTTTTATAAGTATTTTTTTTATTTTTACTAATTCTTCCTTCGGTGCCTTCGAACCCAATAACTATGGAATATTAGATTTAAGAAGACTGTTGTATTTAGAAGTATTCTTTAATTTTTTAAATTTATATACACGTTATTTTTATATGTACGTGTTATGCTATCTTTTTGTTAAATATACCATTTTTATAAATTCGTTTAGATGTTTAAATAAAGGTATAAATTAATAGAAAACGTACTTATCTGAAGCAATTACTTTAAAAATATTGCCTAACTTTCAGGTGATTTTAGCACAGCGCCATCTGTGTGTATCAATCGAATTAAACAAGACAAATGACATACGTCAAAGTCTAAGGTTTGTCATTTGTTTTGCCTGTAGTAAACATAACCAAAGTTTATAAAAAAATATACAAAATGAATTTAAAAGATAAGTGTTTAACCGGGCCTAAAATGAACTCCACGAATTTATATGTAACTACGACACAAATCATAATGAAAGCGGATCCGAAAAATCCGAACTCATGGCAGGACCTATACAGACTCGTACCTTATTTGAGAAATTCTTTGTGTTGTGTAGTTTGTTCAAATTTGTTGGTGGATCCTTACACACCAACAATAGCCCAATGTCAACACCATGTGTGTAGGATATGCAAAGGAGGCAGGAAGAAGATTAAACCCGCTTGCGAGGGATGCAAAGACTGCAGAGATTACTCGGAAAATAAAAGACTTAGGATATTATTACAGTGCTACAAAAAGATGTGTATATCTATAATACATTCACCCTTATTTAATAGTATATCATTGCAAGCGTCCGAGCCGGGTACGGGCTTCGAAAGGGGCGCGAGCAATTTAATTCTACTGATCAAGGAAGGAGCATCGTTCGAAGATAATTACAAAAGTAGCGGCGGCCTGCCTAAATCAACTTATTCCATTTTGCCGTGCATTTATACGAATTCCGTGAACGCTCAGAGCACTCAGCAACCCCAGGGATCTCTCAACTCAGAGAAAAATGTGTTATTAAATAATAGTCGATCTTCGTTTTATTCCGTTTTATATCCTGGTAACGGTAGTAAAATAACATTAAAAAGAAAGTTCAAAGAAGGAGGAAGCAATAATACGAATAATAAAGTGTCTGTCGCGAATAACCGACCAAAAGACTTCTCGGAGAAGGTGAATACAAATTTATCGAAGCTTTGATTCAATATTATTACTAAGATTCGTTATTTTTAGGCCCTTTTCAAAAAGCCTTGTACCGTAAAACCTAAGAAAGGTTGTAGATGTGGAAACGCCACTGCCACGCCAGGAAAACTCACTTGCTGCGGTCAAAGATGTCCATGTTACGTTGATAGTAAGCCATGTTTGGAATGCAAGTGTAGAGGTTGTAGGAACCCTCACATCAAAGATGGACAAAAAGTAATACCGAACTATAGGTTAAATTTAGTTGTTTAATAATAATTTATTGTATTGCTTTAGATTATGCCTCACATACCAGAATTACAGAAACAGCTCCAAATGATACCGACTACAACTCAGACTCCTGTGATAACAACTAATCATATACAAGGCGTTAAAATTGAAGAGATGGATCTAGATAATTCGTTTGCTACTTTCGGAACGATCGGCGTAAATCAACATTTTAAATCCTTCGAATGTAATTTTTTTTTATTATTTTCTGTAGAAAGTTGTTGTAAAATTCACCTATTTCCTAATTATCTTGCTTTAAGTACAAGTACACAAGTTTCATTTTAATAACATAACTGAGATGATGTTATTGTTATTAGTTATTACCTGTGTAATTTTAAATGCAATAGAATAGTTTTGAAAATACTCTTCTTTCTGTTGAAATGGAAAAAATTATATTAAGATTTTTGTTACAGTTGTTGGAGGTTTCAATGCAGTGCCATTAACAACAGACTTGTTACCATTAGGATATAATGATGAAGAACCAGATATAAATGTTATCTGACCACTGATAATTAGAATAAGTAAATCCTAGTTTTTTATAATGAAATAAAACTCGAATTTTATTTTGTCCTGTATTTATGCATTTGCAGAGTAGTTTTGTCATTGTTTTCGTATTGGAAACATTTGTTTCAGCCTAAAAAAATCAATTTCCGAAATAACTTTAAAAAATAATTTCACGTAGATACACCACTGTGTTCTAAACATGATAATAATATAACCTTGAGGTCAAACAAAACAATGGACCATCCATAAATTATATAATATCATTAATTTTTACGGTTTCCCTTTATAGATTGTCTTGTGATTAATTTATAAGGAACTATTTAATTAAAACAGTATTATTTTTTCATTAGGCATTGCAGCCACATATATTTTAATGAAATGAACGTTTAAAATACAACATATAAATTTTGGAAAATATAACAAAATTACAAAATCGCCAGAAACATCTCAAAGCTTAAGTATTTCTTGAATTGCCTCAACAATATGTTTAGCAGAAAGTCCGTATTTGTCTAACAGAGCATTCGGGGGGCCGGAACGAGGGATCGTGGGCACAGCGATATGTTTAACAATGATATTCCTTTCTAACGCGACCGCAGAAAGAACGGCTTCGCCCAATCCGCCTTCATAATAATGATCTTCGACGACTACGGCGCGACCTCCGACTTCTTTAATGTTCTTGATGATGGTTTCTTTATCGATCGGTTTTACGGTAAACGGATCGATTACTCTAACGCCAATGCCCGCCTTCGAAAGTTCCGTGGACGCCGTAACTGCCTCGTGCAAGGTTACACCCCCTCCAATTACGACAACTTGATCTTTATCGGTTTGTTTAACGACATTAGCTTTACCAATCTACAACGAATATTCGATATAGTCGAGTAATGCTACCGAATACACTAACTCACCGCAAAAACGAAATCATTTGGATACAAAACCGGAGTGTTTGGCCTGTTCAGTCGCGTAAAAGTCACTCCCTTGGTATTAGCCGCAAGTTCAATAGCACGTTCGGTAGCCACAGCGTCTCCTGGATAGAATACAGTGCAGCCCGGTATCGATCTAAACATTGCTAAGTCTTCTAAACCCATTTGACTAGGTCCGTCTTCTCCTATGCTTACACCGCAGTGAGTACCTACAAAGTTTACGTTGGTTTGTGAAATAGCGCCCATCCTTATCTACAAAACATAAGCCTCATGAAATTGTACATTCATTCATAGTAATGCATTATTTACTTGATCAAAAGCTCTAGTAAAGAAAGCTGCGAAGGTTGAGACGAAAGGAATGGTCCTGTCCCTGCAAGCAGCACCGATGGCAGTACCGACCAGACTTTGCTCGGCGATGAAGCACTCGATGTACCGGGTCGGGTCGAATTGCTTCAATTTCTCCGAAAAGGTGGAGTTCTTCATGTCGCCATCCAAAGCTATGATTCGGGGATTGTTTTGTGCTATTTTAACGAGTGCAGTGCCGTAGGCTGCTCTGGTGGCAAGCTGCTCTCCGATTTTGTAACTAGGCGGCGATGATAGTTGAACGTTGGAAATGTTTACTGAAGGAGCGTCGTCTTTTAACGGTTTTTGCGGATGTACCTGAGGTGCACCTGGATTTTTAATTAACGTTTTCAAATGTGCGATTACTCTGTCGGCCTGATCTCCAAGGGCTTTTCCGTGCCAATTGTCCAAGTCTTCGATTTTGGGGAAATATTTGCCTTTGAAGGTCTTTGCTACTATAGCGGTTGGTTTTCCTTTAGTATGGGCTGCTGTATAGAACGCTTTAATTAATTCCTCTACATCGTGCCCATCGGTTACAATAGCGTGAACTCCGAAGGATTCTAACCGTTTGCGGTATGTATCTATATCGTGGCCCAAGGAAGTTTCTTCACTTTGACCTAAGCGATTTACATCGAATATCATCACCAAATTGTCTAGTTTATAATGACCAGCAAAATGAACCGATTCCCAAATCGAACCCTCGGCACTCTCGCCGTCGCCAATAAGACAATACACCCTGTAATTAAATCGATAACTGTAACAAGTATTCGGGGGAAGCGTCTAAAATGTTTAACCTGTAATTCGCTTTGTCGTAATTCTTTCCAACGTAAGCCATTCCATTGGCGATGGCCAATCCTTGACCAAGGGAACCGGTGCCGACGTCGATGAAGTTGAGCCTCGGCGTAGGGTGACCTTCCAAGTCGGAGTCGATTTTCCTTAGATTCTGTAAATCTTTAACGGGAAAGAGGCCGGCCTCGGCCCAAGCGGCGTACAAGGCAGGGGCGGCATGGCCCTTCGATAAAACGAATCTGTCGCTCGAGGCGTCCAACGGCGCTGACACTTTGTATCGCATCGTGTTGAAGAACAAGACCGACAGAATTTCGGCGATTGACGAACATGATGTCGGATGCCTGAAATTCGTTCGATTATATTGGACTCCGATTTTTAATCGCTAGGGAAATGTTTGCTACAATATTTAATTATCCCAAAGCGCATTAGTCCAAGCATACCAAAGTGCAAGAGTTGCAGATAAATTTATGTAATGAGTTCAAATAAAATTATTTTTACATAACTGTATATAAGATGCATTATCATTCAAACACAGGAGTGATTGATATGGAGATGTCTTGATTAAAATTAGATTTATATAGAAGAAAGCTCGTAGGTAAAATGAATTAAAAAACTACCTACATAAAATAGTAGATACACTAAAGTAAAAAATTTCTTTTCCATGCGGTCAAAAGATCACCTATACCTGTATACCTATGGTTTGCAACCTTGAACATATCTTGGTCGTCTAGGTCTAGTATATTTTATTTCTAAATTTATTTTCTAAACAGATCTTTATATTTATGTCTACATATATCAACTTTAAGGTTTATGAAGTAAAGTATTCAATTAATTAACTACCTAAAGTAAGTTGCTATGCCATAAAAATACATACAAACGAAATATTACTTTGCCATTGAATAATTCATTCAAGGTGAATTTTAGATGGCGTACCTACTCATTACCGGCTAGTTTACGAAAATTACTTGTAATTTTATTGAAAAAGATCAAATTTGATAAAAAAAACTTAAATGCAGTTACAAAAAAAACTTATTTTTTTAGAAGAGCATATGTGTGTCGGGATAATTGTAGTTATATGACATATTTCACAACCCCTTAAACTAGTATTAGAAAACCGGTTGTCGTTTGTCCAAATAAGCAGACTGAATAAGATTATATTGTACGTTATTCAGGTACAGCGAATTATTGATAAGATTACGAGTGAAATTCGTTTATGTAACAAAAAAATATGATAATAAGCCAAGACTAACAGAAAATATCTACAAATTTTATTACTATAGTAGGCATTAGATAATATCCACCATTAAATAATTCATTATACTTTTCTACATTAGTTACTTTTGATAGTAAGTGAAATATCGTAGCATAAATATCGCAAATAGAAATAAACCGGCAGGATAGCACACGAATTGAAGTGCAAAATCAGAGTTTTTTTCCCAAGACTTACCCAGATTTAGCCGTTTGCGTGGAGGTTATAGAATGAATTCTGATTTTATTGGCAATGTCCCTCAATTCTTGCACCAATTTCGCCTCCGGTTTGTGATAATTGGTCATTTTGATGGGATTAATTTATCGACTTTGAAACTGGAATAGCTGAAAAAAACTGAACACGTTTTACGAAACACCGCCTGTACACATTAATAAAATGGTGCATTCTGTACTTACTGTTAATGTTTTAAATGTGCTAGTATTCGGATTGCAAGGAAAGTGGAAAATACTGCGTTGTAGGTTCTAGTTCAACTAAGCTACAAGCAACAAGTTGTATTTTGTCGGTGTCGGTAGCCGGTCGGAACGATGACGTTGTTTCCATTGATTATTATTCCACATTGGCGTAACATATGGAAATAATCAAGGAGATATACTTTATTTTAATTTTAATTATTAAAGAATTTAATGTGCAGTATACTTTAAAATAATTCTTCTACATACACAGTAATCGATAATAATTGATTAATAAACTGTTCTCGTCTTTTATTTCCTATTTAGAAACTGTCTTACAAACTCATTACTTCTTCTAGTCCTATTTTTTTATTCGTAGTTCAAGTACTGTGGACTGCTCGTGATTTTTGTTTAATTTATTAGAATAATTCTGGTAATAAGTAATGAACTTTTCTAGCTTTTCCAATTTTATATACTTAGATGCGTTCTTATAGGTTTTTTATATTCAAAGATTTTTGAGATGACTCCGTAAGGCCGGTACAAAAATTTGAAAATACTCTGCAAAACTTTTACAGAACTTTCTTATGTTCTCCCGGTTTATTCAAATTCACAATCCAGTGTAACAGACAAGGTACATTTGAAGAAGTTAGGTATACAACAATTTTACTGTTATATCATTTTATTGAATAAATACAGCTGAATCCGGAACTACAATAAAAATATGTATACACAAATCGATATAATACAATTTATATACTTGATTAAGAAACAATAAGTGATTAATATTAATTAGAACATTTCATCCATTTCTGGGTCTCGCCTTGTTTCTTCTATTTTTGATCTTGCTCTGGCCAATATTGCTTTTAATTCCGTTGTTCTGACCGTTTGATACTGAAAAAATATCATATGGTGCATAAAAAATTAAAGCAAATATCAGAGCAAATATTATACTTACTCCACTGATAGATTTCATAATGTTCAATTGGGAATATAGTCGCTTTCCTTCATCTCTACCGCATATTCTCTCTAATTCCGTCTTATTAACATCGAATAATTGTTGGCCATTAACTCCCGAAAATTTACCTTGTATATTTGTATTGAAACCTTTCATATTTAACCATTGCTTTACCTGAGGAACGAGAGATGTTATCACTAAATTAGTTCTGCGAAAATTTCATTACCTCTTTTGGATTCGACCTCTGGTCAATGTAAGCGTGTGGCGTTTGTTTGATATCCAAATGTCTCTGCTTGTTCCTCTCCCTGACCAGAGTAAGGACGTTCACGAGCTCTTCTTGCAAATCCCCGTTGGATTTCGTGGATTTGAGCGATTGCCTCGATTGGGTTCTCTTTATTGGCTGGGGCGTAGGCGGCTCACTAACCGGTCGCTCTTCCGCAGGAGGTGGTGGAGGCGGCGGTGGAGGGACTTGGTTTTCTGAATGGTTTTGTTCTAAACAATTATAGGTTTTGGTTTATTCTAATAATTAGGCGATTAGACATTGACAAAGCTCTGAAAAATGTAGCATAACACGGCGAAACCACACAGGAAATCTGCGAGTGATAATTGTACTGTGACTGTAATAAATGACGGTAGATTTTACATTAGTTTGATAAGCAGTCTATATCACGATTAGAAAAAGAGATACTTTCTACTTAAAAAAATAAATTGGTTTCAATTGATGTTTCTAACCGTAGTACAATATGATGTATGCGATGGACCTAAACACCACTTGAAAGTTAAAAATAACTTATTGAATGCGACACATTAATAATTCTTTAATTAAATAATAAAAGGGTTTTATTCCTATAGCGTAGAATCGAGTATTTCCATGATGCCAACTTGTGAAATTGTGAGTGCAAATGCGACGCAGCAAATCGTGAACAAAAAGCTCAAACAATGAAATTTCAAACAAAACAACAATTAAATGACAAATTTTATTACCTATATATAATAATAAATATTGTAATATAAGTGGTATACAAGGAGGTACCATTTACGTATTATTACTTTTTGAGTTAGTGTAAATATACAAAATCAATTATTAAAAATATAATCAAAATATATACATACATAATTAGAATTTAATGAGACAAACTAAAAAATATACCTAGTAATATGTAACAAAAAATCTCAATATTGATGAGCTACACAATAATATATGTTCTTGTTCATTTTGCAGATAATACTTATTAATAGAAAAAATATGTTTGTTCTATTGCACAAACTCCACGATCAGAACGAGCGTGACATCATTTACTGTCATATCGTAATCCTGTCAAATTAATTTTTCAAGTAAAAATTATACTTAATTTTTTTACTAAATGAACAAGATCACTTTAACACGACACTTGTGCATAATGTTATAACATACGAAAAAAGCGGACGCAAACAATTCGAAAAACTTCACTCAGAAATAGCGAAATTCCCCTTTCTTACCAATCCGTTCGTTTCTGATCCAATCGGCACTAATTTTTGATTGCGGCGAATGTTCGGATTGACTATGCTCCCTGTTGAATCTTTCCACCGGCGATTCCTAAACAATATCACTCAGAATTGCCCTATATACATGTGATAATATTCACCACTTACCGTTCTTCTATAGTTTTGAGTGTAGAGTGGATTGTTGAAGATATAAGGTGTGACGATGGTGTGAGGAACATGAGCTATCTGACCTCTACTGTTTCTTGCCTTCCACCACTTTCTACTATCGTCTAAAATCTGAAAAGCAATAGACTTTGAAGTCAACGGGGAATTCAGAATCAAAGCAATAATACCTCTAAAAATTCCCCTCGAACGACCGTCAATTCTTTATCATTATTCGCCGTTCGAGGATACGTAACTTGGACAATATTAGCCCCTCTATTTTGCAGGTCTTCTAAAAAGGCTTCCTGGTTTCTTCCAAATCCTCTTTCCTCGCCGCTGTTTCGCTCAATCGAATCCGCAGATATATCGCTTCTAGTACTTTCGCCTAAATTAAAGCAGTGAGTAAAATTGAAAAATTGATAGAAATTTAGCTTACCTAGCGCTGCTGAAATTTCTTTGTCTTGGTGGTGGTGGGAATTGTTCCGTTCGTACATATCCTGGCTGGACGAAGGGTAATCGTTGTAATCTCCAGGGTAGGGCACCTCGTGTTGAAAGGCTTTCATCTCAGTTTCGTCGACTACCGGGTACTCCGGCGACCATCCGTCCATGAAAACAGGGTGGTATGAGGGAACGTGACCCTTATATTGATCCCTGGAACATCGAAAGTGTAATAACGCAAAAATCTAATTGGAGGAGCTCGCTAACTCACCTGGGAATGAGCCAAGCGCTGCCCAACGAATGCCACAGCTCGGTTTCTTTACTCGTCACGCAATTCATGAGCAAATTAACAGCCTCTCGGGTCATCAGCGGCGATATTACATTGTGCGGTATGTGCTGATCGAAGTATGTATCGTGAGCCGCCTCTACAATCAGTGCTAACGGCGTGAAAAGAAAATGCACCAACTCAGGCGCATTGGGATCGTGTATGTGAGCTTTGAGCTTCGCCAGCAAATTGAAGGAAAGCTTGAATTTCTGGAAAATATCTACGAACTCCTTCTCCGGTGGTGGCTTCGTTCTCATAGTCAACATGCCTGCAAATTTGTATCATTCAATATGATAAATTTGTAGATAGCATAGATTGCAAAATATTATCCTAAATAAGTAATCCAAACTCCATAGTAATGAAATTTACTAAGTTAATTTATTCTTAAATATTTTATAATTACCTAATTATTGAAAACTATTTAAAGTGTATATTTATTGAAAAATAATAAGTATTTGAATATGCAATTAGGTTGGTATTTCGTACTTTGTAGGTACCTATTTGTTAATAATCATAAAATAATGCTTACCGTCCCCCATGTCTCTTTTCTTGGTTTTCCTCGTTTTCCTCCTGCGTTCCAGCTCCCTGGCGGCAGCGGCCGCGTGCTGCAATCGAGCTATGAATTTCTCGATGTCGTCGAAGCAATGGTTCAAAATCGTCACGTCCCTTTCGTATTTCTCGCTGGTGGTCGAGCTGGAATCGTCGTTGTTGGCCGTCAGCTCCGAGTCGGATCCGTGGTAATCCCTTGCGACGTCCCTCGCCGGGCTGATGACATTCTGGGGCGGCTTGTGCGACGGCGGAGGGATGCTGCTTTTACGGCTACGCGTTAGCGCCTTGCCCATTCGAAGGTGGTTCAAATCCTCGACCAAGTCCTGAGCGGATATGCTCTGGCACTGGAATATGAGAAATTTGCTTGATCGAATGTAACTAGTAAATCTGTTACTAGTTAGTAAATGTAACTAGTAAATCGCTGTGGAATTTACATTGAAATACTAGTTAAATTTACTTATCGTTATCATGAAAAAGATAGTCTATAGTGTTCAAGTAGACATTTGTTGTATATAAATATAATCGAATAATCGCAATAAAAAACATGTTAAATAATTTAATGAGATCATCTGAAATTGATATTGAATTGTTCTTACTATTTATCTTATCTTATATAGATATTAATGGTGTTATTGTTATAATTGTTTATGGAAAAGAATAAGATGCATAATAAGAACATTTCTTGAGACTTTAATTTTTGCTAATGTATTCATTTGATGATTATTATCATATTCAATGAATGCTTGTATGCACGTTTGCATATTTCTTACCTGAAATATGTGCATTTCTGGTGGGTGTGATTGGTTTGAATTAGTTACAATAAATACTAAAATATTGTTGTACAAGTCCATTGGATCCTGACTCATGAATGCTGTGGGTTCTTGAATAGAATTCGCTGGAAACCGCTCCATCACACTCTGTAACAAAATATTCCATTCTGTTTAACTGTTTTATTCTTATTGTTCTGTTACTTCTTATTATAAAGCATATACGGTTTTTATTATGTTTAATTAATTTGTGTAATATTATTTCAATAATTCCGCTATGAATTTAATTAAAAATAAGTATCTATACACCTATATTTAGGAACTTGTATTGTATTGTGTGAATGAATATATTATAAAAGGACGGCGCATTTGATGTAAAAAAATAAATAATAATTTGTATATAAAAATATGGAATGATGTAATATCGTTGTAGAGATCGGTTTGAGTCATATACCTATCAAAATGTCTTATATTTTTCGATTAGATTAATCTTATTGTTTTATCCAAGCATTTTAATTTTACCTACTAAATTTTCGGTGACAAAATCAGGAGTGATTGTCATAAGAATCGAATGAAAATAATAAAATATTTTTTATATCTCTCCTTGGCCATTAATACATACCATAAATTAATTGTAATTAAACATTAAAAAAAGTAAAATTGAACGACAATTAAAGTACATTTAGGTATTATGTTTCTTTTTATCAGAAATGTATTTTCTCGATTATCTTAATCCCATTATGATAGATACATATATATGAGCGAAAACAATATTCACTTAGATTGTACGTGATGTCATTATTTATTTAAGACTTAATTTATGTAGGTACGCATTTCTAATTTTATAAAAATTCGAATAACTTGGAATTTCTAACGGTATAACTGAGAAAGAAAAATAATGACTATAATAAAGCTCTACCTATGTTTGGTTTAAGGTGCAATGAAGATATTCAATGAAACTATGAAATGAAATTTTTGGAGAATATATATATGTACTTACCCCTGTTTCGTAATCCATAATAAGAACCCAAGAATTGTCTAGACATAATTGCATCTTCTGCGACCAAATACCGTTGGTTTTTTCCAATTGCAGTAGTCTCCTCATTCCGTCTGCGGGATAGATGATGCCGGTTTCTTTGGTTACCGTGAATGTAGCCAAATGTTCTATTACGTGAACAGGCTTTTCCACGCCATCGTTCATTCTGTCCTCCCTATCCATTTCCCTGTCACCAGCAGAGTAACCGTTTCGATATGCCATTTTACCAAACCACTGTTACTAAAGAAATAGGTATAAAACGCTAAATCTAAGAAGGATTTAATAATCAATTTATTTTTAAATAGGGCTTCGATAAAATGAAGGGTTTATTATAGAAAATTCTGCTTTGCAAGTTGAAATCAATTATACCCATAGGTGAAATAAACTGTACAGATATTTTTAAATCACTTTCTATTTCTCTAAATAGAATTTTAATACGCATCTGTCGAGTTAAACTAATACATGGAGTATAATTTGCACATACCAAACATGTTGCGTGCTTTAAATTCGAAATCTTTAAATGAACATTTAACAATCTTTATTATTTATAAAATTTAAACCTTTTTAAATTTTGAAAATATATTAATTTATTACTTCACTTCTTTATTCAGTAGATTTTTATTTAAGTGAAACTATTCATATATTATTATTTATTCATTTATACACGAAACATTCGTATTCTTCTATGATATTGGTCAGACTTACTCTAAATATATGTATAATTTCACATTTCACCAATAAAACTGTTCCATTCACAAAGGTAAAAGTTTTCCTAACTAAATAATGCAAAATTAAATATTTTACAAGAAACAGTTTAATTGTAATTAGAAATAGACTGTGGTTTCTTCAAGTGTAACGATTAGGGCGATTATAAGGACTTGTAACATTTGCAAATGTATTTCATTCATATTATGCGAAAGAATAATTTAGGAATTTATGCGAGAGTTGGAGAATATGTATTTCGTTAAGGTTTTGCCACACCTTTAACCATATACCGAAAGGAATGCGTGGAATGAGGTAAAGAACGTACCAATGCATCTAAAACATTTACAAGAAAATACCCCAAAGCTTCGTTATATATTGCAAATAAGACAAATAAACCTTCCAAAAATGTTAATATGTGCTTGAAAATATGTATATTAAGAGAAAGAATATCTTGACGTAGGTAATTAACAAAATATGAGTTAGGCATTAGAATGATTTATACATCATGTTGCAAGTTAGGAACTTATATTAAGCAGGTATTATGCATAAGCACATACAAATAGACTAATAATGTTAGATTAAACAGGTCTTAAATACCCAGTCACTTGTAGAAAACGAAGTTAAGCCACGGTGGCTCGTAATGTTAAGGAACACAAAATAGCAACGGCGAATACAGTTGTAATGTGATTTAAGTTCAAACTTACATAATTAATTCGAATAACTACACATATTAGTAATCCACATCAGTAACGCGTTCTGTAGGAAAGTCCTAAACGCTAACAATAGTCGGATTTAGAAATATTTTATATATTTATACGGTATATTATTTTCGAACTTGCAATACCATATACAACACAACACAGATCGACAACTACAGTCGCGCTCCCACCTGACAGGTAAAAACAAGATAAGTCGATGCTTCCACTCAAAGCACATGCGTATTAACGTTGAAAGATGGTACCTGACAAAGTACTGTATTCGTAACTATACAGGTAATAGTTACCAACGTCATATAACCAGGAGCGGCTCGTCAATTTTTTTTCAAATATCCCAGATACGTGCAGAGTGCAATTAGCACGAGGTAAAAGCAGGGATTCCCTTAACAAATCTTTGTTTGTTTTTACTTCATATTTCTCGCGAAAAATTTCAATTGGAGTAAATTGACTAACGTTCTATTTACCAAAATTATATTATTAATATCGACCTAGGTGTCTCAAAATTCCACTACCAATACCTTAGGGCAAGTTACCTCTTAATCGTGAATATTAAACATTATTTGAAATGTTGGATCACTGTATGTATATTATCCATGAAAAAAATAAATGACAGTAATCGAAAGATATGCCGTTCTACCCTACCGTATCTGGTTGTATACAAAGTATTACAGCAAGATTTTGAATATTGATCTTTGATTAAGCCAAAGGAAAAAAATACTTGTATTGTATTATTCATAGCATGTGGGTCATTCGATTTATCGAGAATTGCCAAAGTATCAGAATTATACAGAACTTTATAGGATTAAATGAAAAAACATTTTCAGTTTTGTGAGACATGTTCACAACCAGTTTCAGTTTTTCAAAATATGACACCTGTCAAAGGATTTAAATATACTTTTACGGGCGACGAAATATGTAGGTAGACCGGCACCAGATTATTTACAATAAATCAAAAAAACGAAAATAAAAATAAAACAAGTAAAAATGTCTCAAAGAATATATTAAATATACATGAATAACTAAGATTCTAATACAAGACTACTATTGTATAAAAATGAAGATAGATGAAAAAGTAAAAATAAAATCCCCTGATAATATTAGCAAAAAGTAAACATTAAAAACCAGCTTAAAAATATATTTTAATCGAGTTTTAAAGTTTTAGGTTTCTCTGATGTGTATTCAATTTGCAAGTCTTCATTTAGTTTCTTAGCTAAGAAATATAACTCGGCCAGAGCTATGGTTAATGCACAAATAATACCAAGTAAAAGCCTGAAGCCAAAGTCTAAATTGCCTATCAGCAGTTCTATGCCTATAAAACCAAACACAAATCCTGCTATCACCGACATTATGAATTGGAAAACTGCTACAAGATGCCTGTTCATTTGCTTCACTGAAAAAAGAATGTTACATTAGCATTTCGATGCACAAAAATGATAAAACTTACATTGGTATCCTATAGTATCTTCAGGAAGAACTCTCCTTCTAGTATCTACATTTTTTGTCATTTTAAAATAATCCCTGTTGGCTTGCTGTTCTTTCAGTATCTTACACCGCTTGTCGAGCTCTTCATTCCTAGGGATTTCTTCATTTTTGGGCAAAACGATATCGCTCCCCTCCAATAGCTCGTGAAGCCAAATTTTATCGTTAGTTTGGTTCTGTTTTTGTATATGATTATAAATCCAATGTATATCTTCTAAACTGAGTAATTTATCGCTTGGGTTCACTGTTGAAGTTTTATTCAAAGGCAACTGGGTGATAGCTTTCGTATCGATGTCTTTTGTTACAGATTTTATGAACTTTTCATCTTCTTCTTTGAGAAGTTGGTGAATTTTCGGAGGAGGTGGTTTGTTCAGTTTTTTTGGTTTGTTTCTGAAAATAATATTGCTTATCCCATCCGGTAAATCGTCAAACACTTTGATATCGTTTATGTATTCCTTTAGTTTCTTAGAAGGCTTTATATAAATCGAAGGATTTATTATAGGGCCAGTAATCGAACAAGCCATTTTAAATTAGTATCTTGCTTTCGATATTTTCATAAACTTTTGCGAGTTCTTCTTCTTTACGCTCGTATTCTGTATTTATATCAGAGTATTTTGTTGTGATTTCGTCCATAAATTTATCCCATACTACTTTTCGCCCTTTTCTGTTATCTTCAAGCGTGTTATCCTACAAATTAGAATAAACTTAGTATTATTTAATAAAGTTTCTCACATGACTGAGTATTACATCAGACATTTCAACATAAAGAGAACGTACCTGTTTGTATTTCTCTTCTAATTCACAAAATTTATCACTTAAGCACAAAACCTGATCTAATCTTTCATTGATATGTTCTAACTGCTTTCCTGCTTGCTTGAATTGCTCGATTTCCGTATCTTTGATTTCAGTAATACATTCTATAGTTTTAAATAAATTATCGACTTCCTCGTCTTTGCGTTTTTCCTAAAATTACAAAAGAATTACACTAAATAAGCATAACTCTCACCCTCGTTAAGTTTACCTCAAATTCTCGTAGTATAAATGAAATTTCGCCAGATAAAAACCCTTTGTGGTCGAAAATTCTACTCCATACTTTACTTACACCTGGAAATAAGCAACTGTTATTAATAATAACGCTAAAAAAATTAGATTTTAACCGCACCCTTGAAAACAACATCACTCATTTTATATGTCACGTTGTTTTTCTGAAACGTCAACGTCAACTAAACAGCAGGTCACATGTCAAATTTAAATGTCTAGAAACTAGGCAATCATATTATCACGATTGTAAACTGTGTTGCATATGCAATATTTAAGGGATTATATTACCAACATAAAATTTTTCATTTTTCCCTGTCACTTCGTTGACATTTTGACTATGCTAATGTTGGCATCAGTGCGAAATGTAATAAGTAAAGTGATCAACAATCACGGTATATCTGTAGAAAGAAACAATACAATGTACTTCATCAATAAAAAGTCTATTTTTAATCGAATATAGATAAAAAATGGTTTTTAAGAACATCTAACTTTAATAGAGTAATGGTGAATGTGATTCCAGTGTTTTTGGGAGCTCATCAGAGCTTATCTTTATAAACTGAAGCTAATTTGACGTAATTTGTGAATACATACATGATGCCCACATTGCCCAGTTTTATCACTGTTGCTGATTTTATTCAAGAGACCAGAGATGACTACAATTCGCCAATTACTTCTACTTTTGTCTCTAAAATGCAGCAATGTAGAAACACCATTACAACAATGGAAGAAGTGAGTACTAAACACAATCAATATACCTTCCATTCTTGCATTTTTTTCAACTCGTTATTTTTATAAATTTTGCATTTTATTTATATGACATACTTAGAAAAATAATTATAGTGCATTTATGTTTATATATTTGTAAAGTTCAGTTTTTAATGTGTGGTATTATGGTTTTATCAGAGGATGTATGATATGCGTTTCATCAGGAAGGAAGTGATAAAAGCATTTGAAATCATAATCATAAACCACCTGCGAAAATCTCATTTCCATTCACATTTGTATTCTATTTAGGTTCAAATAAAAAATAGAAACTAACTGATGTTCTAAAAATAATGTCATCAAATACCATAAGACAGTGGTTTTAGCAAACATTTTTAACAACTTTCTTTACCAGTTTTATGTGGGTAGCAAATTTGTATTTATACAACCTAGTTTTTCATTTAATGTATGTGCTATTGGCATTGCTATTTTTGTAACTAGTCAAATGTTAATAAATCACCCAATTTATTTATACCTTTATCAAATAAGATATATCGCAATTTTATTGACAGATATAATCAAGTGACTTGCTCATCTTATATTTTAATTTTGCAAATCGATTTTTTTTGGTTTACCTATTTTACAACTTTATTTTTATTAAACCAGGCATTTTAAAGGCTGATTGTTTTTGAAATAGCCTTGGGTCATTTATACAAATGTGGCCCTTTTGGTCTGTTTTTACCTGAATGCTTCAGTCAGATGGTCTATGGTTTTTTACAAAGAGAAATTAATTATACATGAGACGTTTTAAAAATCGTCCCGGATGACAAATTTTATGGTAGTGGTTCCAACGGAAACCACTCTTTTAGGTAATAAATAATGAGTCTTTTGATACAACAAATTTGCTATGTTTCAAAAACTGTTCTTCCAAATTCACCCAAGCACATCCTTTTGTTAAATTACGGAAAATCCACTTTCTTTAAGTAGTAAAAAAAGGTCCCCTATTACAAAACGCATGAAAAATAAATAAAAAAACTTGCAGTCTTCTGACAGTAGCAGCTAGTTCTAAAAATACTTGCACGTTTTTTTGTTTATATTTTTATTTGGTGACCTTTTAAAAAGTGACAACGCATTCCAAGGAATATTGAATAACATTAAACCAGTGTGACTATTCTTAAATTAGGCATTGTTTTTTGAGAAGATATTTCTCTGTGAAATTTCGCTATTGTGTAATGTTGAATAACCAATTTGTAAGTAAGCAGACAATGTAATCAATTTTAAATACTTACACTAAATCATAATTTTTATCATAATATAGCATTTTTTATCTAGTTTAATATTTTTTTTCTATCAATTATGCAGAATTAATGGTATTGGAGTGATATCGAGGCCAACTTTCACATTGTTTATTGTAAAATTATTAAAATTTGCCGAATTAATTTATCGTATGGATCTTGTATGATTACCTTAAATAGTTCACTTAATAAATGAAGATTTCGAGTTTTTATGGAATTTATAATCTTCATTAGTTTATTAATCGTTTGGACTTATGAGGATGTTTGTAAAATATTCGTGCTACTGAAGCCAAGAATTTCAATACGGGCGCTCGTCTAATTTCAAATTAGAATCCGCGGTGTTACATTCTACTAATATGAATAATCGATTTAACATGTTGGATAACCTACTTTGTAAAAATAATTATATCTAAACTCATCCACCTCGTTTTGATCGAATTCCAAGCTATATTTACATAGGTACATCGCATTTTTGTTCCTATGGACCTCACATTATCGGTTAGATCACCGGATTTTAATTGATAAGATAAACTTTATCAAATTTCTCGCTTTGCAAAGTCATATTATAACGCTTATTTTTATAAAATTTTGGCACATTTTGCAAAAAATTTCCACACCAACTGCTCCAGCCTTAGATCATTTGAAGCATAAATCTTCTAATGTAAAATAGATGTTGTATTCATGTGGGCACGATTGTGTAATGACTCCATCCATTCTATTATAATGCAAAATTCACATACTAAACGTATTTCGTTATTTTACTGACGACAGGCTAATTTAAAAAATGGGATGCCATATGGGTTTATTATTTATTTTATTAAGGTACCGCCCGAAAATGCAGTAGAATTCGAATGATTTTATAAATTTGGTAATGAACACTAATTGAATTGAGGTTGAACAATAATAATAGATTTATTAAAAATACAAGTTTTTGAAATATGTGAATGAATAAAATTTTTCAGGTATTATTTCAAAAAATCAAGGATATTATGTCACCCTTACAAACAAGATAATAAATTATCTAATCCAAAGTTCCAATTCAGTTATTTAATTTCCGTTATAAAAAAACCCAAATAATATTCCAGGAAAAATAAGTTTAGGAAGATACTTATAAAATACCTAGAAACCAAGCTCTTGGTATATTTTTTGGAATGATATTAATGCGTAGATTGAAAGATAATTCGATATGTCTTTGTATAAATGATTCTTCAGATTGACCAGCGAGCATAGCCTATAATTATGTAATTACCGAAATATTCTTGAATTACGGATGAGAGACTTTGCGGCGTACGCATCGGAATACAATGGCTAAAAAATTAGCAGTGAACGTATACCACGCGTTCTTTGTGATAATTTTTTATTCGAAGGTCGTTTCACGAAATCACCTGTGACTCATTGTAGTAGGTATTACGTTTTCGTTAACTAATAGTATACTAAATAAAATGTTGTTGCACTTCTATACGAAATTAATTCTGTTGATGAATACTTACAGATTGTTTTTAATTTTCAACCGACACAAAATCCAATTAAATTATACAATGTACTGCTGCTCCTCGCATTTCGAGTAGCAAGAAATATGCATTGTTAAAAGGAATCAATGGAATTGTATATCATTTAATAATGAATATTTGTTGAAAAAAAAGCTTCTAGGCAAAATTAATTTTCCTAAATAGTTTAAATGTGACCTAATTCTAAAGAAATTCCAAACGGTTAAAATCGTTAGCGAATACACATATAAATAATGATTTTAATGAGACATATGGTAACCAGTAGTTGCTAAATGTGTGCATGAAAATTTCATTCATACCAGCCATGGGTGGCGAGAATTGGCTTTTTTCCCGTTAGTGTAAACACAAGGGTAAATCGAACGAATAACGGGCGATTTGTTACATTCGTTTGAAAAACAGAACTTATCGATTCTCAAAATAAAATTGTTGTAATATATCCAAATGAAAGGTTGTAAAATAGTTTAAAAAATGCTTGAAGCAAGTTACCTTCGAACGCCAATGATTAATTCTATTAAAAATTATTTAATTTTCTAAGTGCATTCGTGAACTATAATGCATTATCTAGGTTTACATTGTTTTGTGTTTGTCAGAAGTTGTCAAATAACTGATGCCTATTATTTTAATTGAAAAATAATTTACTTGTTTACCAAAAACACAAGCTATGTATGTCCTTCTACACTACACTACATAATGCTATTTTTTAATACCATGAGAGATTACTTAATATTCTATAAGAAAAACTAAGTATATTTTGATAATTATATTCCAGTTCAAGCAAATATAATGATCATAAACGATAATAAATTTATAATATTTGCATTTTTCTGTTTTTCAAGTATTATTTTGGCGCCTCCACAACACCTTCGCAGATTTTAATTATGCACGCTTGTTGCAATAAATAAAACCTTAATAAATGTTTTATTAGATGAGTTTATTAACATTTCAACATTAGTCGTGGAAACGGTGAATTTGTTCTTCGTACATGTATACTCTTAATTAGTTTACACACCGTTTAATTATGATTTGTACGAATTATTTTATTAAAAGGAACTTCTTCTGAAGTGCCTTAAAGCGAAAGAATTAGTTGTACTTTGTAACGTTTATTTTTTGTAATACTGGTCTATAGGTGTAAAAGATTAAAATAATACCTAAAGAAAGTAACGTAATTTTTCAATGAAACCTCTACATATACGTTGAGTCATATTTTACATCCCACTTAATATGAAACCGATTAAACAACTTTTTAACTTGCTAACTAGAAATGACAAAACCCTGCAAAATCTCAGTCATGCCAAAAGTACAGAAATGTTCTCTTGTTCAATATTTCGAAAGGTTTGATATCTATATTATATATTACTGAATTGATATAGCACTCATTATTAAAAAATTGCTGTCAAATATGTGTTAAAAAAGTTAATGCACAGTTGTATTTTAATTTCAGACGTTGGATTATGACAGAGAAGGGCTGACGAAAATGAAGAAGGCCATTAAGGCCATCCATACATCAGGAAATTGTAAGTACATGTAATTTAAACACGTAATGGTAATAACATGGTATTTAATAACGTACATTAGTTATGTCATTTTCGACCCAAATTTAAGAAAAATGATGTTTCTACAAGCCGTTTGAGCTGAAGGTTATTTAATGTTATTACAAAGAATTTTTTTAGTGCTTGTAAGCTATTCCAGGAAACGTTTATAATTATAAAATATATTTTTCTTTCAAAGAAATTTACCAACAAGAAGTATCGCGTAAAAAATGAACAAAACCTACTGTTAGAAATTTGTAATAGAAGTTTTTTAACGTCACGCATCAACGGTAACTTATAAAAGTGCATTGTTGTGATAAATCGACAAGGTTGTCGCGTATTTTGTATATATAAATCCAACCTTCTATTGTTAATTCGGGTGTCAATGTACTTCTGGGAAGATAAATATAATCGTATTCGCTTTAAATCCACGGTACATTGCAGGTCACGTTGAAAACGAATCGTACTTGGTAAAGGCGTTGGAAAAAATCGGCCAGAACGCGACTACGAAGGAGCACGAAGAAATCATTGGAAACGCTTTTTTAAAATTCGCTGTCGTCACCCAGGAACTGTCGGCCCTGATGAAAACCCTCATGCAAAACTTAAGCAACATTGTAATGTTTCCTTTAGACAGTTTATTGAAGGGCGACTTACGGGGCGTTAAGGGCGATTTGAAAAGACCGTTCGACAAAGCGTGGAAAGACTACGAAAGCAAATACGCTAAAATCGAAAAAGAGAAAAAACAGCAAGCTAAAGACGCTGGTCTTATCCGGTCGGAGGTGACAGCCCCGGAAATTGCCGATGAAATGGAGAAGGAAAGAAGGTTGTTCCAATTACAAATGTGTGAAGTAAGAATTTGATATTATTTAGAAGTTTTTATATACTAATTTACGCATTTATTTTTAGTACTTAATCAAATATAATGAAATTAAAACAAAGAAAGGGATAGATTTACTTCAAAGTCTCGTAGAATACTATCATGCTCAAACAAAGTAAGTTCATACATAAAAAATTTGATTTGTAATTAAAACCATCGTGATTTTTATTGTTTTTAGTTACTTTCAAGATGGACTGAAGACAATAGAATATTTTGGTAATTACGTAGCCGATTTAAGCATTAGATTACAAAAAATTCGACAAGCTCAAGATGAAGAAAAGAGAAAATTATCCGATTTAAGGAATCTTATAAAATCGACTCCAAGCATTGAGAAAGAGGTAATGCCAATACTCCTATTGAATCTGCAACATCCAAATAAAAATATTTCTTTAGGTTGGTCCCCAAATAGATAAAGGTACTTCTGGCTATTCGCTGCATCAGCTACAAGGTGACAAACATCACGGCGTAACGAGAACGGGCCATTTACTTAAAAAATCTGAGGGCAAAATGAGGCGGGTGTGGCAAAAGAGGAAGTGCCGAGTCCAGGCTGAGGGCTACTTAGACATATGTCATGCTGATGAGAGCAAACCGCCTACTAGAGTGAATCTACTCACATGTCAAATAAAGATAGTTCCTGACGATAAGCGAGGGTTCGATTTAATATCTTGTAAGTAAACTGTTTATATTGTACGTTTAAAGTTAAAAGTATGTGGTTATTGAATATATAATTTTCCAGATAATAGAACTTACCATTTCCAAGCGGAAGATGAGGCGGATCAAAGAGCATGGATGTCAGTACTAGTTAATTGCAAAGAGATGGCGCTGATGAAAGCGTTCGACGATAGTACTAAGACTGGTAGTGATAAAGTCAATCATAGTTTTATGGAGCTGCAACAGGCTATTATAAAATACATACAGAAAATACCGGGCAATGACCGATGTTGTGATTGCAATTCCCAAAATGGTAAGATATCATTACAAGAATATATCGCATTCTCTTTTTTCGTTTCCTAGATGCGACATGGTTGTCAACAAACTTCGGAATCATTGTGTGTATTGAATGTTCGGGAATTCATAGAGACTTGGGAGTGCACATAAGTAGAATACAATCATTAACTTTAGACAATGTTGGAACTAGTCAGTTGGTACTTGCAAGATTTATGACCAATAATTTGTTTAACGACATCATGGAGGCCCAATTGTCGTCAAATGAAAAATTAGACCCATCTAGTTCGATGTAAGTAACGCCTATCTACCTCCCTTTCGTTAAATTTGAGTAAGTTAATAATGTTATTATGATTTTCAGGGAAGAGAGACTTAATTTCATCAGAGCCAAGTACGTAGACAAAAGATTCGCTTTAAGGACATGCCAAACTGAATTGGAGAAGATATATGAGCTGGAAGAAGCTGTGAATAGAGGAGATCTGCCACTTTTGTTGCAAACTTTTGCTGAAAATGTAGACTTCGGCGCACCTTTACCCTCTTCTGTAAGTCCATGGAAATCATTAATAAATTCGTAATCATTCAGATTTTTGGCCTTGTAAAGATTTTATTAACTCTTCTAACTTTTATACTTTCTGCTTTAACACGATAATTTTTTACAGAAAATTGGGGAAACCGCGTTACACAGAGCCATATTAAACGAGTCCGGTCGAACGTTGCACATTGTAGATTTTCTGATTCAAAACATGTCGAATTCGGCGCTAGACAGACCGACTAACCAACCAGTGGTACCAGAAATGAGCGGATGCAACACGGCTCTTCATCTTTGCGCTTTGTACGATAAAGTCGAATGCATGAAACTGCTATTGAGAAGCGGAGCCGACGCTTCGTTGAGGAATTCGCACAATAAAACGGCCATGGACATAGCTCAAGAGATGGGGAATAACACGTGTCAGGAATTGGTTGGTAGAATCGATTATAAAAACGGTTTGGTTAATTATAATTCTGGTTTTTAGTTGCAAAATGCGGCAAACAGATTGAAGAATTACTTCGATAACATCAACATCGATTGGAACTTGCTGCACGATGATGGTTCGACTGATTTTTCCGATGACGAAACTATTATCGAAGATAGAGTAAGATTCATTAAAGACTGTGCTTAAAGTTATTTTTTGATATTTAAATTATTTTCAGAACGGTTCGTTGACACCAGAGAAGAAAAATCGATCGAGACCTCCGAGTTATACAGGTGGGGACTCTCCTATTATCTTACGTTCACGATCATCCACTTGCGATAGCTTACAGTTAGCATCTAGTAGTTTTAACAGACAAATGCCTCATCCCTCATCCACACAAACTAAAAAACCAGGTAAAATTAGCGGGCATGAACGTACACTAAATGAACATTGTTCGTAGATTTCGATCCACGGGTCGAATTTTATATTATTTTTCTTCGTTTACTTCTATGGATGTTTGAATTTTATGAATTTGTGTGGATTTTTTAGGAGGCTTTTTACAAGAATACGCAGGTAGGGAAGGGGCATTTTGTTATTTTGGTGGTGGCTTTTATGGGTTCCATTTATTCCATTTATTCTAGATTATCATTAAACTTGGTGTATTTACTAATTAATTTACAAGCTATAAAAATAAGTAGTACGTAATTACTTTTTTTGTGAAAAGTCTACTTAAAATATTCGCTTTTTATTGTGAATGTTGAACACAATATAATGGATTTTACCTTGTATATTTAGAGTCGTATATTTAAATTCAATTTCGATAAATTTGTGTTCAAATTCACCTTCACTTTATGTTTTCTGGTTCTAGTGTAATACCATTACTTTAGTTCTATCATCCTGTAAACGAGATGGAGTTCCATCAATATCGCAAAGTATACATTTTAATTTTGCAAATTTTAGTGGCTATGGTACATAATAGTTTGAAAAAACGGACGGCACCTTTACCACCCCCTAATAGTTCATTGAATTACGGCACTCTTCCTAGTAATCATAGCAGGACGCCATCTGATCCGATCGCAGCAGGATATCATACCCTGAGCCATACTCATAAGAGATCGCCCAGCAGTGACAGCAGTTCTGGCAGATCCGTAATACCGATAGGTAAGCTGATCTGTAATTAACGAATTGGTTTTATTAATTAGTTATTATTTTAGGAAACAAGCTAGTTATGGCAGATAAAAATACAGATAAATTCGGTTCTGTCAGGAGGCCTCAAAATCCTCCGCCGCCCGCTCCTAATTCAACATCCAGCAGATTGTCGAACGGACGTTCAACTGAGAGCATATCTTCAATGGTTTCAGATTTGGATGTTTCAGGAATGGTACACAATCCCGTACCGCCTCCCAGAAGAGTAAGTATAAAGAGAACCGTCCGAAGCACTTTCTTCACCTTCTACCTGAAACAAAAACCGGTTCTTTGTGATTAAATTGTATGGTTTGCAGAAAAGAAAATGTCAGTTGGATAGTTTCACTGATGATAAAGATGTTTCGAGTCTGGTAAAGAAGCTTTTTGTGTAGATGAGTGTAACGCTTTCTGTGTGTCATTCGTACTAAAAAATATTTTTATCATCACGCTTTTAAAACGATCATATTTTTGTAAATATACTTAATTCATGCCGGCTTTGGATTACTACAGGGCGACTTATTTTGTTGAGGAGTTGAATTGTTTTTTTTTTAGATATTAACAATAATGGTAAAATTTTATGCGAGCTTATAAAGCGATTCAACCCTGCTCATATTCTGCTATAAACTTACAAAACATCAATGTTTAATATCGAACAATTTTCTCATTCAAATTTTTTTAGGCGTCAGATTCACCACCGCATAGAGTCTCATCTAGTCCTATATCAACTAGTTCGTTGTGTTCCCCTCGATCTATCCCAAGCGGGCGATTATCGTACGCTTCCAACGGCAATACAGGTTTGAGAAGATGCAAGGCGCTGTACGATTGTGCAGCTGATAACGACGATGAATTATCATTTCAAGAAGGAGAGATTATCATCGTTATCAATGAGCATACAGACGATGATAATTGGATGGATGGTATGGTCGAGAACGATCCGAACAGAACTGGCATGTTCCCCATAAGCTTCGTTCATATGTTGCCAGATTAGATATTTTAAAAGAAAATAACTTATATAAAAGTATTAAATATATTTTTGATGTAAATGATCGGTCTAGCTAGAGGGAGAGTTCTATATTCTGATTATGGGTAGGTATTTTTCCCTAAAAATGTTAAATCGTGCTTAGTTTAGAAAGAATGTTGATTATTAAAAGGTTTAGAACGGGAAAAATGGAAGGAATAAAAATATAGCGAAGACACAAAGCGTTGTTGCCAAAATACGCAGATATTTAACCAAATGTTGTTAAATTAATGTTATTCCTAGATTTAGACGTGACACGTAACCAAATAAAGACAAAATTATTATGCAAGTTCTTGGATAATTAAAATAAGAAAATAAATGTATTGTTGTTAGACGTTTCAAACTGTGATTGTTAGAAAAATCTATTTATTTGAAATATATCAGAAAGATTGTTAGTATTTTTCAATATTTAATCTTTTAGAGATAACTTCTATATTTTACCTATAACATAAGTAATTGTACTAAAATAACTTTGTGAAAAGCATGGTATATGTTTGTTTATCTCTAAAAGCATGATTACAGTGAAGGCTCGTCTAGTGCTTTCAATGCGTCTATAAAAAACAAGCGCTGGCTGAAAGTTCAAAGCTAAAATTTTAACACTGAACTCATTTGTGAACAAGGATTTTTGCTAAGGATCAATCAACTCCTTATATTTATCATCAATTTGTTGTTGAAAATATTTGTAACCATTGGGTGTTATTTGTAACCACTGTGTGTTATTTGTGACCACCGTGTGATATTTGTAACCACTTTCTGCTGTGGAAAATGCACAGCAATCAATTTGTTCTTCTGGGCAACTTGTGCCATTGTTTGAGACAACACTAAATGAAATATTCATGCATTTTAACAAAAAATTTCAGCATATTTGTACATTTTTTGTTCTTTAATAATTCCTAATGATTTTCAATAACCTCATTACATTCCATAATTACCATTAATATTGCTACTTATATCCTGTACTTTCAGATTTACTTTCTCATGACTAACAAATCTAATCGTTTAGGTACAAATGTTTTGTCTGTATTTGGAAACGTCCAATATATAGCGTGGTATAATTATTTCCGCCCTAGACACCTGTGATTGCTGTTTATTGTATTTTCTTTCGGAACAGTATTTCACTACTAATAGTTGTTGGATGTTCTAAAATATATCAGGTGTCAAATATAGCTATTGTATAACAAACAAACTTGTAAAACTGTTTTTCGATTCGTGTCGACAACGTACGAATCAGTAAAGTGAGCTATTACATATTTTTTTCTACGACCGCGATTCTATTCGACTATTTGTGATGTCGATGTAATGATTCCAAAGCGTAATGCGTTTGTGCGTAGGAAGGTTAGTGTCCTCGATGCGGTCGCAGGAAAAAATGTGGGTTAATACTAGATTGCAGATTTTGTCCAGTTGTGATCTACATTTGTGATCATTGGTCATTATCGGAGGTCTAGTTAACTATAAATATATTGCGATAATAGTGCTGGTGTCTTCTAAAAAACATTCGGTAGTAAGTAATTTACTTAGAGATCGTAATGTCGATGTTGGAGTAACTGGATGTATACTCAATTTATGAATTCTGCCTAAGTTGTATATGTCGCATTTTTCGAGCTGATGCCTAAAAGTAACCTTTGTGGAGACTTTACTTACCAAATGATACCAAGAATTAATGTTGTAAAATCTATTTAATTTTATTTGTAAATAATTGTATATTTTTTGTCGTGTATATTTGATTACCAATACGCCATAATATATTTTTACAGGGTTTTACATAAGAATTTAACACATCCACCCTTTCGTTTATTTTATGTTCCACCCTGTATTTGTAATTATTTTTTATTTAAAATTGGTTTGCCATAATTTATATTAACGTTATGCTGTGTATATATTTGAAAGACAAGAAATTTTAAACTTTGCCATAATTTTAATCGACACATTTCAGAAATGATTTGTTTTGGAAAAATCATTTTCTATGTACGTAATATTTTAAATTATGGCAATGGAGTAATGAACTTAAGTCTGAATTATACAATCTGCTTCCTAAACAGTTTTCACACCTTTCTTTGGGTGAGTACAGTTTAGATATCCACGTCCTTCCCGGTCACACATTTTAACTAAAACGGCATGTTTGTGTAAGTTTCTATAGAAAAAAAAATATATTATTACTTTATTGAAAACCAAAGAAATATGGATTATCCTATTCTTAATATTGTGATAAACGTATTAATATCACATTAATTACAAACCTACTTATTTATTCTATAAGCGCTTTTAAGTCTATTAAAAATTGCTGACTTTTTTACTTTATTAAAAATATAGTTATGGAAATTTTATGACAGTCCTAAAACTATTTTTTATGTTTTGTGTACTTACAAAAAATCATCTTTACTATAAATCTACGTATTATTTTGTTCTCATTTTTCTGATTACATATGTACTATTTATTTATTGGTGAATATTGAATAACAATTCAATATTTTTATTGGTCCATATAGGCATTTTCGAAAATTTTATAAAACGTATTTGTGCACAAACATGCTACTAAAAAAATCGCTTTTGATGTACGTAATTTTCTGTAATTATAATAGTCAGTTATTGTAGATATTGTCAAGTATTGAAACAGTTTTATTAAATACTCAATAAATTTGATTTTTACCAATTCGACTTTGTTTCCTTAAACGATTCTTATCTAACCGGTATCGTCACTACTCGAATATGTTGATCAATGAAGATTTCATAAGTAGTGTATTTTGAAGAGCCAAAGAACTTAATCTGATAACATACCCAGTGACAAAAAAGTACCCGGAAATTTGAAATAAAACGCAAAATTGATTTTTGGTGCGGCTTTTAGCTTATGCGAATTTTCTTTGATGACATTTATGGAGCCAAAACCGCAGTAGCAATTTGAGTTTGAGTAACAAAAAAATGTCGCACGAGGCTATATAGTGTGTAAGGCGGCTGATTTATGGTACTTCACACGAACCAGCATGTTATATGGAGTGATCACTTGACGATATATCATGATGATATTGGAAATCAATTTCCTTCATTTTCTTGCCATTGTCATTGGTAGAAGTCGTCGAAGGCCGTCTGGAATAACGCAAGTCTTTAGCGATCTCTGATCAGTCTTTAAAACTTGTACCATTCGTAAATATGGGTTTTCGATAAAAGAGAATCAGCTCCAGCATTTGCATCGATTCGGTCCAAGAAATTTCGTTCAAAACCCAAAATATGAGACAAACTCTTTGTTCATTATTTTTGTCCTTCGCAGAGCACTACTGGGATGAACTGATTCAATCAGCTGCTACAATCAAACTGATTGAGAAATCACTCTAATTGTTTGCATGCTAATGAAGAACAATGTTACCTACATAAAGAAACTTGAAATAGTTAAAAATATTAGGTGCAGGTAATTTAAATCGGAAATTCCGGATACTTTTTTGTCAGTATGTATACCACTTTTCCCATGCACGCGCCAATTATAATCATATTTAATTTATCTTCAAAGCACTATATTAATAGAACATATAAAGAATACAAAAAAAAAATCCAATTATATTCAACTGCAAAATTCAAATGACAATCAATTATTTTTTGATCCTCTAAAGACTAATTCCTTTCGTACTCGTCGATTAATCTGGAAAATTTTATTTGATCGAGTAAAACGCTGAAGAAATTAATATCGACACGTGATCAAAGCTTATTTCGTATCCGTTCGAAATTTCCATTACCCTTTCATGTCACTCAATTTTTCATTATCGATCGCGAACATAATTGAGCTTGTATCGATAACAAGCTTGTCTCAAACACTCGGCAGAACTTCAATTAAAAATAATTCTGACGCTCGAAGTTGTTTGCGTACAATACGGATGTTTATTACGCGATTTTTGGACCGCCTGCGTTTGATTCATTCTCAACAAATATGACTCATTTCAAATATGCTAGTAGAAATGCAGGTACATAAATTTATGCATAGATTAATTAAAATTTGTATATTTATTTGGTAATTTTTGGGTTTTTTTAAATTAGATGGTGGTTATAGAGTTCTATAACTACATATGCACATAAAATTACATATTTATCTACCAAACCTTCCGTTCAATTTTTTTTTGAGATTGCTTGTCAAATTTCAAAAGAAGATTTTTTAAATATGTCTGGATGAAGTAAAATGTTTATCAACATATTCTATTTTTTTATTGCAAACGTAAGTTTTATCAAGAGCTGAGTAATCAGAAAAGCAAATCGTTGTTTTTGTATTACGTGCTACATCATTCAATCCGCACTTTGAGATACTGATCGAGAATTGAGAGAGCGAAGATCCAGCTTTTCAATTTTAAAGCTCTCCTTTATACAATATTCAAGCCTGCTAAATATTAAATGAGTCCTCCAGATGACGAGATAACCCTGGACAAGGAATAATGTAAGTAAAAGCTCCCATCCTGAGGAAGTCTATTTCAGGTTTAAGCATACCGTCAAAATAACCTTTTATGGAACAATTAATTTTTCACAACCATTGTAAATAGGAACATTAAAGTAATGTTAACATTCATCTATAGTAGTTCTCTTTGTTCACAGTTTAAAGCAAACATATCCCATACATGAAACTTTCAAAATTATTCCTCAACTTCACAACTAGGGTAAACTCCGTAAAATGCATAGTGAATTGAATTACTGGAGCTTGCAATGTCACTTCATGAATGCCTTTACACATGTGCGTCGTGTGGTTGCAAGGGTATCAAGTAGCATTAAATGTTTGCGGGATGGAATGGTGTTTGATCTGCTTGGAATAGTCCTGCAGGATTTAGTTATCCTGCGAAGGGCATGGAAGAATTGAGGATCTGCCCACTGGATGGCGCGTCATAGAAAAAGCAGACAGTGAGACGTCGGCATCAAGCATCGGATTTGGGTTTGAATAGCCCGTAATGTCAACCAAAGGGGTGAGGCAACAACAGTGGAATCAAACAAAATGTATTAGTTAATAGAAGTCGGCCTGTTTAGTGTTTTTCTAATTAAAGTAGTTGTAATGTTAGTGAAAAAATGGAGGGATCGTTTGAACGTCTTGCTCACATGAAAAATTATCTTCCAGGTTGTTATGGATCCCACACTCTACTGTCCCGGTAAGGAAAGCAAAACAAGGAATTTATGTTTGTTGTGCGTATGTTAATGTTGAGCGTGGTGCGTGGTCGAGTTGTTGAGATATTAAATGCAAAAAATTCTCTTTAGTTTAACTGAATAGTTCAGAGCTTTAACTATTCACCGAGTTCTATCCAGAAATCTCTAAACAAAACAACCTATTTTTACTTCAAAGTCAAAGTTTTTAACGCCTCTTTGGTTTTGACTCATAACAACTTAATGCCTTTATGTGATATTAATCCGATCTTAATCAGTTAATAAAAACGTTTATAAAAAACACAATCCATTCTTAGAAGATAGTCATGTTTGATTCTGAAGAAACAAATCTCAATAATAGGCCACGCCCAACACTTGACTCCGATCAATATTTTGACTATACAGGTTACTAAACCATTGATAACATCTATCAACGATCGTTCAACTATGTGTACATTACACACCTCTATTAATTATTCATTTAATTACAAAGAGTATCCACCTTTTATTTACAACTCGGCCATTTAAAAAATTATTTGGGACGTGCCGAAAGGTCACCTCGAAGCTTTGAGCTGTAATTTGATTGATTAATTTCGGAACTCTTGGAAAATGTGTCGACATTTTTAATCTACCTTTGGCAACTTTGTTGATGGTAATTAATCTGATCAAACCAAAATCCAAATAGCTAATTAAGCATGCTAATTTTCGGATTCTACCCCGTAATTCCCATAGTTCCTAAACTATCGTCGAGCGTTAATCGCTTCATTAGCCTCAAAGAGCATCCTTAATGTGCATAGCAACAGAATTTGCTCAAACCGTTGTGCCAGAAACCTAGCTCTTAAATTTTCGAGTTTCCTTTTTAGCCAACTATAGCGCCAACGGTTGTGTTTTTGTTATTCTAAAAATATTTAGGAAGATTTTTTTATCGCCACAATCAAGCTTTTTATCGCCTTCTAAAGCAGTAAAAGCTCAACGAGCGCAACGTGCCATTGATATTTCAGAATTATTTTCAATGAATATTAGGGACAATAGATATTTGAATTAATCTTAAGCAAATGAAGTTAGAGTGCGTTTGTTAATTTAGGTAAAATCGTTTAGTAGTAAACATGATACAAATATTAGATATTTTTGTTATCTAGTGCAATAAAGTGCGTGGCCCCTTTTATATCGGCCCGGCGAGGTAATTGGCAAAATATGTGGTTCAGGAAACATCCAGAGATAAATTTGGATTAGCTATTCATCGGCGAGGGCGCATGAGCGGGTATTACGTAATAGATTAAAATGTAAAAGCGTCGAACGGTCGACGGCGGACGACGGACGGCGCTCGTTTGACGACACCGACGCCAAATAAGCGTTTCCCTCCAGTGTGGCGTCGACGCTCTCATCTCATTTGAGCAATCGCGAAAGGCGATTGGAATAGTCACATTTTTCTTTATGTTCCGATTTTTACTAATTGATTATGTGCTTGATTTGTTGAAATTCTGTGTTAGTTTTGCTCGATTTGTTTATAGCCCTCGTTGAGGTTCGTATAAATTTCGTTTTAAGTGTAGAAGCTTCGAGTTTTTACGAAGCGCTCGTAGGTATTATTCGACCGCTCGGGAAATTCGTATAGCTTTAAATATAGTGTTTAAAAATATCAATCATGACAATCGTGTTCGCACGAGAAATGCTTAACGTTTTCACAGTGTATGTAGTTAATTATCTGACTTTATTAATATTATAATATTTGTATTATTTATGTACCTGCTGGGGAATTCATCAATAAGCTTTTAGATTAAAACCACCCGATAATCTTGCTGTAGATAAAAACATTTTTGTGAAACAATTTTAAGAGTTTGATCCAATAATTCACAACAGGTTACATAGTAGAGTCCTGAAAGTTTTAAAAGAATAAAGTTTAGCGTGTTATTCGATACTTTAGTTGGTGTATCGATAAACATGAATTTTATTACCCCGAGTAAAAGTTTCAGTTAGGCAGCTATAGCTATTTATCAATTCACTTTCAAGCTTACTTTTCTCAAAATGTTTACTCGTTAAAGTTATTTTTCTCAGTTTGCAGTACTAGTTTGATTTTATTTAATTACAAACGAATAAAGGTGTTGTAGACTTAAAAAAAACAGAGAAAAAGATGTAAGCTGTAGTGATTTATTTAAATGATTTTCTTAGGAAGAGTAAAATATATTAGGCATTAGTGAATGTGATAATAATTAAACTACTTATTTCGTAAAAGTGTGGTGTCAGCTTAAATTTTCGAGAAAAAAATCTCCACGAACTAAAAAATGTTCCTGTGTAGTGTGCATCCCACATGCGTTTAATTAAAATTATTCCGGTACACTATCTACAATAGGGAGCGGTTTAATTAAGGCATGTAGGTACATTTTGGTTATTGCAGGGCTGCAGTATGAACTTCGCGAATCATCCAACAATCGCTTTTGGTCCGTACAACCTGCAGAAAGAGGGGGATGTGCATGGCAAGGCCCAATTAGTGCGACCGCCACCGCGATGAGTACCGTGGGGGCGGGCGTTACGAGCCCTGGACAAGCGGTTGCGGCTCGGACGCCGACGGCCCCCAAACGACCCGTCCGTCGCGGCGGCAAAGCGCCCCCTGATCGTCCGCAACGTGCCCTTTTTTGCCTCTATTTGAAGAACCCAATCAGAAAATTATGCATTGACGTTGTAGAATGGAAGTATCCTTCTATTAGTTCTAATAATTATGCTTTCCAACAGGTTTTCTATGGTTTGTTTTCCTTAATCAGATTTATAGACCCTTCGAATGGTTAATTTTACTTACAATATTTGCGAATTGTGTTGCCTTAGCTGTTTACACTCCTTTCCCCAATACCGATTCGAATTCGACAAACGCGATTTTGGTAATAATTTTGAATTCTTTTAATGTCACTCTATTAAATTTTGTGTTATCTGATTTTTAGGAAAAGATCGAGTATATCTTTTTAGTAATTTTCACAACAGAATGTGTAATGAAAATCCTCGCTTATGGGTTTCTTATGCATCCAGGGGCGTATCTACGGAATGGTTGGAATTTACTTGATTTTACAATTGTTGTTATAGGGTATATTATTAGAAATAATATTTATTCTCGATAATATTTTACTGATAATTTTAGATTAATTACTACGGTATTACAAAATCTCAGTAAGGAAACTTTCGATGTGAAAGCTCTAAGAGCTTTTAGGGTACTTCGACCTTTACGACTCGTTTCTGGCGTACCAAGTAAGCTTTCAACAAGATCATTTCATCATCGATTTTGAATAACCTTTACTAGAACTTAATCAATGTAATTTGTCCAATTGATAACACATTGTATCATCGATTTGACATAAATTATGAAAGCAATATTATCAAATGGTATTTTTAGGTTTACAAGTTGTATTGAATTCGATTCTTCGTGCCATGGTGCCTTTATTGCATATAGCTCTGTTAGTACTATTTGTTATTATAATTTATGCGATTATTGGCTTAGAATTATTCTCAGGAAAAATGCATATGACTTGTTATGACAATGTTACAGGTAAAACGCTAAATTAACGGCGAAAGCGAATATTCTGTTTGGATGCTCTTTTAGGTAAAGCAATGGATGAACCGCACCCGTGCGGGACCGATGAAGGCTTTGATTGCGCACAACTTAATATGGTCTGTAGTGACCGCGGTTGGAAAGGACCAAACGATGGCATCACAAATTTCGATAATTTCGGTCTTTCCATGTTGACTGTATTCCAATGTATTACCCTCGAGGGTTGGACTGACGTGCTTTACAATGTATGTTTTTCATTCCACAACCAACATCATTATTCATTAATTCCTAATTAAAAATTCATAGATACAAGATGCGTCGGGCAGAACGTGGCAATGGTTGTATTTCGTGTCGATGGTAATTCTTGGAGCATTTTTCGTGATGAATCTAATTCTCGGTGTACTGAGTGGGTAAGTTAACACGCAAACAGAATTTATTACTCAACTAAAAATGCTAGTGAGTTTTCAAAGGAAAGAGAAAAGGCGAAAGCCCGCGGAGATTTTCATAAGCTCAGAGAAAAGCAGCAGCTTGAGGAAGACCTGAGAGGTTACTTGGATTGGATTACTCAAGCTGAAGATATTGAACCAGAAGGAGAAGATCATCAGAACCAAGATAACAGAAATATGACTCAAAATGAAATGGAATCTACTGATTACATTGGCGAAGAAGAAGTGCAGCAGGAGTCATGGTTTAAGAGGAAGAAAAAAGATTTCGATCGCGTTAACCGAAGGATGCGAAGAGCTTGCAGGAAGGCCGTTAAATCTCAAACTTTCTATTGGCTCATCATTGTATTAGTCTTTTTGAATACCGGAGTTTTGGCTACGGAACATTACAAGCAACCAGAATGGTTAGATAAATTTCAAGGTAATACTAAATTAATCGATTATTAAAAATTTCTGACTATAATATTTTTTAGAATATACTAATATGTTTTTTATTGCTCTGTTTACGATGGAAATGTTGTTAAAGATGTATAGTCTAGGTTTTCAAGTAAGGATGGTGCACAAATTTTAATACCTATTAATATTATTAAAATTTATGTGATTTTAGGGATATTTTGTATCGTTATTTAATAGATTTGATTGCTTTGTTGTAATTGGTAGTATTATGGAAATGATTTTAACTAACACTCACGTTATGCCTCATTTGGGAATATCTGTGTTACGTTGTGTTAGATTGTTAAGAGTGTTTAAGGTAACTAAGTAAGTTATTCAAAACGCGCTTCGGACGCAATTCCACAATTTGAGCTATAATTTTAGGTACTGGCGATCATTATCAAACCTAGTTGCATCGTTGTTAAATTCTATTCAATCGATTGCGTCTCTTTTGCTTCTATTATTTCTGTTCATCGTTATATTTGCTTTATTGGGAATGCAAGTTTTTGGTGGAAGATTCAATAAAGACACCGAGGAGAAAACCAGATATAATTTCGATAGTTTTTGGCAAAGTCTTCTTACCGTATTCCAGGCAAGTTTAATCGCAAGTGTATATATTTGGATTAATTTAATTTTTTCTTACTTAGATATTGACTGGTGAAGATTGGAACGTTGTAATGTATGAAGGTATAGCGGCTTACGGAGGCGTTGAGTCACCAGGCGTTCTGTCCTGTATTTACTTCATAATTCTCTTCATTTGCGGTAACTGTATCCTTTTATAACGAACAGTTTTTTTTAATATCACCATCAATTCAATCCTACGATTTTCCTAACGTTTCTAATAGACATTCTACTGAATGTGTTCTTGGCCATTGCTGTAGATAATTTAGCAGACGCCGAATCTCTATCGGCAATCGAAAAAGAAGAGGAAGAAGGCGAAAGAAAATCAAAAAGTCCTACACCACAAGAGGAGCTAGACGAAGAGCACAGTGTAGAAGAAGAAGAGACTGACGATGGACAATATTCTGGAAGGTTTGTAGACTTATTTAGTCTTAATTTAGTTTTATCACGCACATACATACATTAATGGTAATTTCAGATCGGAGCATGACGAGGAGGCGGAATCTCAAACGAAAATTCCCGAAGAAGGAGAATTCGAAGATCAAAATGAAGGTAGTGTATCCAATTTATTTACATTAATAACATCTTAATAATATACCTATTTATATGATAGAAAATTTTAAAAAGGCTTGATAATTGTAAATTATCTATGTGTTATGTCATTTATAAGTTAGAGCCAGAAAATAATGATAATTTTTAGAGGAAGATCTAGATATAGAAGTTGACGACGACGAAGCAGAGGTCGTCACAAAAGAGACAGCGAGACCTCGGAGGTTATCCGAGGTCACAATTGTTAAGAAAATAAAGCCTATTCCCAAAGGCAGTGCCTTCTTTATATTTTCACATAAAAACAGGTAGGCCCCCTTGACACAGAACATAGCTGCTGATCTCTGATACTTAGCTAATTTTAAACATTGGGCACATTCTTTTTTTCTATTTACCACGCAATTTTTATCTCATTAAAGATGAAAATATGTAAAATAAACAGCTATGAACGGCCTTCTTTCTCTTTCACTATCTATTTGAATACTAATCGTAAAATCGGTTCTGCGGCAGCAGCTGTGTTAATTAGGAGCTAACAGTAATATGTGCGTATGTGTGTGTGCGTTGCAGATGGAGATGATGAGGCGGGCAACGATGATGGGGCGCAACCACGCCGCATGTCTGAAATAAAACAAAACACACAGACGTTGCCAATACCGCCAGCGTCATCTTTCTTCATATTTTCTCCTACGAACAGGTGAAATGTGGTAGACAGTGGTGCCTTAAACTTGAAATTGTTAGCAGAGTTCCCATATCTAATTTGCTACTAGGTACAATTTCCTATCATCATTTTGTCTTCCGTCTTCCAAAATTATGGAGTTTAATTTCAATAGAATCAAATTTATACACTTCTGAATAATCCCTTCAAATGGTTCAGTTTTTATTGGTGACTGGAACTGTTTGGGAACTCTGCTTTATTGATAGAGTGTTGCGCTTTTGCAACCCCGTTCTGGCACTTGGCACTCTAGTGTGGTCCCGCACTTGTTTGTTCAGTAGTGCGACCCTGAAGCCTGCCAATTAGAAAACCTGCATTATACCTGTAAAAATCATAACTACAGTCTATCGTATCGCAGACAAAATAAAAATCCTGGACGTTTGTAATATGAAAATAAAAAAAATAGGTTGAAGTGATATTTGAAAGGTGGTTGCTAGCTTTTGTCTTTCGGTGTCTTCTTTGCATGGCTTACTTGCGAATGTAACACGACACGACGTGTTCTCAAACGAAAAGTTTAATATAATAAACGTAAATATCAATTCATCTAATCCTCTCTTTCTACTACTTACCCATAAATTCATCATACGTGTGTTATTGAATTGGATGATTTTGTATTGGTAGTACATTGTGGTATTAGTTATAAAACGTAAATCAAGTTAGAGTGGTTTCAGCAATTCTTCGTTTTTAGATTTCGCGTCTTCTGCCATTGGTTTTGCAATCACAGTTATTTTAGCAATATGATTTTGGTCTGCATTATGGTATCTTCAGCATTATTAGCAGTTGAGGACCCAATAGATACTAATTCGGAAACAAATAAGGTACAAATCAGATGTTATCATATTAGAATTTCTACAAATAAATATGTTTTTAGGTGCTGTCAAAATTTGATGTGTTTTTTACAATAATCTTTTCAATTGAACTGATGCTCAAAACCATTGCTTATGGATGCATCTTACACGACGGTGCCTTCTTACGTTCGGCCTTCAATATGTTGGATTTACTAGTTGTTTGTGTGTCATTAGTATCTATATATAATAGGTAAGAGATTTACTAAAAATTTTTGTTTGTGAACAAACAAAAATAATGTGTTTGTTTCAGTCAAGGCGCAATGAATGTGGTTAAGATTTTAAGAGTACTGAGAGTTTTACGACCTTTAAGAGCAATTAACAGGGCTAAAGGATTGAAGGTACGTAAGTAATGAAAGGTATTTTAAATTTAGAGGCTAACGTCAATTAGCAGAGTTACGCTGATTCGTGATCAGTGGGTAAACATTTCCTACGTGCTTTCTCTTTATTTAGGTTTAGGGAATTTCCGATTCCCTTTTAGGTGCTACAAAAAGGGGTTGTAGACGATTATAGTAGAGGAAAGGTTTTGCTTTTTGTAGGTTCCTTCGTACCCACTTAATTAAATATTTATCTTTAGCATGTAGTCCAGTGCGTCATAGTTGCGGTAAAAACCATTGGCAACATAGTGCTGGTGACATGCCTGCTTCAATTCATGTTTGCCGTAATAGGAGTACAACTGTTCAAGGTAGGAACTACTCATAACAGTCCGTTTCCATTTCCATTGTTGCGTTATTGAAGCAAATGCACCCGTTGGTGTGGGTTTCCTATTGCCAATTGCCATTTCCAATTTACCTTTAGCCCCTTCGCCAGAGATTAACCCCGTTGTTGTGATGGATGGGGCCCAGTAACCCGCATGTTTTCGCTCAGCAGTCTTTGCGTGTTGTGTGCAGTTACGCAGCTGTGCAGTAATGCAGCTGTGCGTTTGTGCAGTTGTCGCTCCGTCGATCAGATCAGATCAGATCCAGTTCTCGCCCTCTACATCTCGCCGCACTTGTAGTCATATCTAGAGTGGGATTATATTAGGGTATACCGTCGAATATCGCCTGGGCGATGCTACTTGCTTTAACTTTATTCTTTCCCTTACTTACTTTACTGACTGTAATGTTTTTTTTTCCATTCTATCATGCCGAATCTTCCTATGGCTAGTACGTAGTGAAATGCGTGATAGTAGCCATTAAGACGATCGGCAATATTATGCTGGTCACCTACCTACTGCAGTTCATGTTCGCTGTCATAGGAGTGCAACTATTCAAGGTAATTTTCCGTTTCCGAGCTTTTGTTTTTTTAGCATAAATCAGCGTAGAAACAACATTGTTACTACCCGTATGCATGTTTTAGCTGTAGCTGGATAGCGGTCGTTAGTGGATTTAATCGGTAATGGATAACGATTAGCGGCATGAGTAGAGCAGAACTTGTGCGCCGCTCGCCACTTTCAGCTGAAACACACTTTAATGTTTCATGTTATGTTTATGTTATGTTATATGTCATGCCACAAATGTATCTACGTTCCACTTTTCTTTCTCTATTTCTCTATACACAATTCGTTTCCATAATAGTATTATTTCGCTTAATTATTATTATTATAATTATTATGTGCTTGCATAAAACTTCTTCTATCTTTTTCTATTCTCTTTTTTCTGGTTCTAATGCCGCCAGTCCACACAAGCGCCGACCACATGGATGTCATATACGTATAAAGATTTCATTTGGTATTGGTAAGCCTCTGGAATATTTCTTTATTATGAGCTACATACTTATAGCGTATTATGCACATCCATTATTGGTGAATTGGTTGTCTCGCGGAGATCAACTACCACATACGTACTATATATTTATTTACTATAGCACATTCACTTATATAGTATTTTAGGAGTTCACTTGGTTCACGGTAAAAATATGTTGTCGCTGCTACTACTGCTGCTATCGCCACTGCTACTGCTGATGCACCGTGTTATCTTAAGAAGATTAAACGCTTCTAAGTGGATGCAGGAGGTTGCAAACTTACGTTACGTTCAGTGGTTTAATTGTAGAAGCTTGTGAACATACACGTTCGCCCTCAATTATGATATCTATTTAATATTATTTACTAGTTATGACTACAAGTGATCGCATTATGTGAACCATGTTATTAATTCGCACGTTCTTGCATGTGACGTCATGTATGAGTTAAGTTCAAATCGTATTTCAATTTGGAATTGCTTTCTTATTTTCAACACACAATAATCAAATACTGGATGAGACAATTTACTTAAATAATCAATCTAATAAATATTATTATCTTTATTAGGGAAAGTTCTCGCACTGCACCGACAGATCCAAGATGACTGCTGAAGACTGCAAGTAAGTTGTTATTAAAAACAACGAATGTTCTGTATTGCTGTTGTTCAATTTTAGTGGAACTTATTTGGTGTATGAAAATGGGGACATAAATCGCCCATCGATGAGAGAAAGAAGATGGGACCCGAATAAATTTCATTTCGATAACGTGCTAAAAGCAATGTTGACTCTCTTTACTGTTTCGACATTTGAAGGATGGCCGACTTTGTTATACGTTTCAATAGACTCGAATGAAGAAAATAAAGGACCAATTCATAATGCCCGCCCTATAGTAGCAGCATACTACATAATATACATTATTATAATAGCTTTCTTTATGGTTAATATATTCGTCGGTTTCGTTATCGTTACATTCCAAAACGAAGGAGAGCAAGAATACAAAAATTGCGAATTGGATAAAAACCAGCGTAACTGTATAGAATTTGCACTCAAAGCTAAGCCAATTCGTCGATATATTCCGAAACATCGTATTCAATACAAGGTTTGGTGGTTCGTTACATCAAGACCGTTTGAATATGCAATATTTACTCTAATCTTAACAAATACAATAACACTGGGCATGAAATTTCACCATAAGCCAGATGACTATGCAATGTATGAAAAAGTTTTAGATTATCTTAATATGATTTTTACGGCAGTTTTTGCTATGGAATTCGTTTTTAAATTGGCTGCATTCCGAGTTAAAAACTATTTTGGAGATGCTTGGAATGTCTTCGATTTCATTATAGTACTAGGTAGTTTCGTTGATATTGTATATCAAGATGTTAACGTAAGTTTAAAACATGCTTTTCTCAAATTTGCAATACTTATTTCAAAATTTTGCAGCCTGGAAATAAATTTAAACTGTCTGGTAACTTCTTCCGCCTATTCCGTGTCATGAGACTTATTAAATTATTGAATAGAGGAGAAGGTATTAGAACACTTCTATGGACATTCCTAAAATCATTTCAAGCTCTCCCATATGTAGCTCTATTAATTGTAATGCTATTCTTCATATACGCTGTCATTGGAATGCAGGTAAATATTTAAATATTAACGAAAAAACAGAATGTTCTAATAATTTTTGATTCCAGATGTTTGGAAAAATTGAAAGCAATGATCTAGAATCGTCTTCGTCCATCACGAGGAACAATAATTTTGGATCGTTTTTTCAAGCTGTACTGGTTCTGTTTCGATCTGCTACAGGTAGATATTTACGTTACTAACAGTAGGAAAAAAGGTTTAACTGTATCTTCATTACAATGGTATTTATAGGTGAAGCATGGCAAGAAATAATGATGGACTGTGCGGGCACACCAATAGCTAAATGTGACAGGAAACTAAAAAAACTAAGTAACTGTGGCTCAGTAGTAGCCTATCCGTTTTTCATTTCATTCTATGTATTATGTTCGTTCTTGGTAAGTTACAATATACCAAAATCATTTCTATTTGTAAACGCGGTTATTGTTTCAGATTATTAACTTATTCGTAGCGGTCATTATGGATAATTTCGATTATTTGACACGAGATTGGTCGATTTTAGGACCACACCATTTAGATGAATTCATTAGATTATGGAGTGAATACGATCCTGACGCAAAAGGACGAATCAAACACCTTGATGTTGTAACGCTTCTTCGGAAGATTTCACCACCACTCGGTTTCGGTAAACTCTGTCCTCATCGCGTGGCTTGCAAACGGCTCGTTTCCATGAACATGCCACTGAACAGTGACGGAACGGTTCTCTTCAACGCCACGCTGTTCGCCGTTGTTCGGACATCCTTGAGGATAAAAACCGATGGTCCCAACATCGATGATTGCAACGCGGAACTTCGAGCGGTCATCAAAAAAATATGGAAGCGGACCAGCCCGAAACTATTGGACCAAGTTGTACCGCCACCAGGAGTGGACGATGAAGTGACCGTGGGAAAATTCTACGCCACGTTCCTTATCCAGGATTATTTCAGACGCTTCAAGAAGCGAAAGGAGCAAGAAATGAAAGAAGGCGATAAAGATATTCACAATACCGTGACTTTGCAAGCCGGCTTGAGAACCTTGCACGAAGCAGGACCCGAACTTAAACGCGCCATTTCTGGAAATCTGGACGAACTTATTGATGATAACCCAGAACCTATGCATAGAGTAAGTGATTTTTTGTCAATTCTTTATTATTATCTGCCTTGAGAAAATTTTTATTATATAGCCTATTATGATTGGTTAGAGCCAATTATTTATATAGTCCATTTGATCTTGTACATTTCTTATTCTACCCAAATAGTATTCTTTTCGCAATACTTTGCACGAATTTTAATATTTTTATTATCGTACCTTTTGTGCTAAACTTTTTTAGATTTAGAGTTTCAAGTAAGATGCTCGTTTATAGCAAATTTTAAGCTTGCTTCCTATCATCACCACAACCAGGATTTAATTTTAAAAGCTAAGATGTGCCAAAGGAACTTTTTCAGGATTAACTTCAATTCATAATTCATTCATTTCCGTGATACTTCGTTTGGTGTCTAGTTCATGATTGATGAATAAATTGACCACCCAAACTTACTAAACGGCTCTTATTCATTTTGCAGAGAAACCATTCCCTTTTTGGTAGCGTCTGGTCCTCTATGAAACGTGGTCACACTTTCAACCGAGCAAAATCCTTAAAACTAAACTCCACCCAAATAAAAATAACACCGGCTTCGAGTGTCGATTACCTTCCGTACAATTCGATTAAAAATGCCGTTACCGAGGGAATGAATCACATAACATCAATGACTAAAAACGTGCAAAACCGGGTCAGCGTCAACTCATTGAACAACCAGGAGAATTTCAAAGACGAGGAAATCCCGCTGAGATCTCTTAATAACATACGTAATGGGGATGATAAGAACACGTATACAGTAATCGAGTAAGTTTATGTACTCGCACATTCGGAACAAATCAACCTTCAACAGTGATTGTATCCCAAGTAATCGATAATAGCTAAGCTGCTGGATGGTTTCTTTTTCGGAGCTATTTTCGTTAAACTACTATACGTTTATGCTTGTTCTCGTTTTGTTTTATTACCTGGGATATGGGCATTATTGAAGGAGCTGACATGGAGATTATAAAATGTGAAATAGGAGCTGACTTTGCGGGGGTGCGATTCCTATTACTAATTTCCTAATCTTCAAAATGTATATATCTACCTATAAAAAGCGTTCGCTTAAAAACTACCTCGTTGAAGGCTTTGATTGGGTATTCATTGATGCTCTAGCACTTCGTATCCATCCGCTTCAACATACCCCATTTCTTCTGTAATAGCCGACTAGAGGTAGTTTTTAGTTTCAGTGTTACAAATGTTGAAGCAATTAGTCATTTTTTTTTGTTAGGGATTTGTTTTTGTTAAAAATAGTGAAAATCGTTTCATTATCTCAGAATAAGCTTTGGTTTATTTTAGAAAATTGTGTGCATTATGTCCAGCGCTTTTTTAATGCTTTTGTTTGTATTAAGAAATATTCGATTTACTGAATGTTGTTTGTCTCTGTGTTGAAGTTGATGTCGATCAACACTTGAACCAAAAACTATTCTCTCAATCATTATTATATGTTCGCTGATTATTTTCACTAGACTGTTGTATTCCTCGAGTTTTTGCTATCCAAACCATATAATTATTAGTTCAATTCAATGATTCAATGGACAATTTTAAGGTACCGTTGCAGGAAAAATATTACAATTAAGAGTTAATTATATTGCACAAAATGGACAAACATTTGTGCTGAGATAATGAAACACGTAATTAGCGAAAGGAGAATCAAAAAAGTAAATACATGGATTATGTTTCAGTAAATCTGGCTTCCTGCACCCTAACTACAAGGGTAAGCGAAAGCTGGTGTGATTTGTGCCTGTTTTGGTTTTTTTATGATTTGTTTGAATATACATTTTAACGTTTAGTTTGATTTAATTGCTAACTGGTTTGGTGATCTATTTGCTAGTCTTCAGGGTGACAAGACAGCGGAGTTGATGCCTCCAACCCCACCGCCGCGCCGCGTCCGTCTGGGACTAGGGGGCGGTTGCATGTCAGCCACAGTCACAGCCACAGCTACACCTACATCCACTCCTACACTTTCGTCTGTACCTGCGCCTTCGGTGCCCGTAGCTGCGCAGCAAGCACCAAGCTTTAATCGCATTGCAAGCGGGCTGAAACTTGCGCAAGCGCAAGCTATGGCCGTCGCAGGCTTCTTGCCAGAACCAGAGCCTTCGCTTGGTCTTGGTGATTCGCCTCTTCCTCTCGGTAGACTTCACCCATTCGTCTTTGATTCCGAAGGATATAACCGGCATGCGCCTTGTACTCTACTGAATCACAGGGCTTCCTTCCACGGCAGAGGTTAGCCCCTTATCTTAAAAATTTCCTATCTTATTTGTATTACAAACGACCACATCGTCAGTTTCCATTATTCAATTTTATAATAATTTGTAGCTAATGTAGTGACTAATTTTTATTGGTACTCCTGGTTATACTTTTGGTGGCATCAAAAATATTACAATCTACTACTATCTTGTTCTCACACTATACTTATTTTCCTACTTGTGCATTTTACTAATTTTTGAGCAGATTTGATTCGTTTAAAATTTTTGTAACAGCTTTATTACTAATTTTATTCCAACAGAAATTCGAGTGAATAATACAGCTACATAATATAAATGCGTGCTATTTCCAGATACCATAAAAATCATATTTACAAATTACTAAACCTACCTTACCAATGGCTATTCAATAGAATGTAACTCTGACAATAAGAAAATGTTAATATTACCCATGTGGGAAGATAGAATAAAACTGTAAGTAGTGGACGAGAATAGGAAATCGGGTCAATGCAAATGAGATTACTCAGAGGAGGTTCTTTAAAATAGAACATCTGTATCATGTGCGTTGAGATGAGTTCGATGCATTACAGGAAAGAGGATTTTTTTAAAGAATATAATCGACTACAGATAAATTAACGTCGAAGATTTAAATAGAACACACGAATAAGAGTGACAACAAATAAAGAATTTCTTCATAAAAAATAAGTTACTTAACAAAAATTGTACATATGAATTTGTGGAGGTTAATTCAATAGGTATCCAAAGAAAACCAGAATGCAATGTAATTTTTCTCTTTGTTTGCATTATAAAATTAACAAATTTCTCATTGTCAAAAATTTCTAGATATTAAATAACCTTTTAATTTAACAATTTTGCAAACAAATTGAATAATAATAAAGTATTCCAAAGATGTTATTAGTCTTGATTTTTCTATTATTCTTCTATCAATTTGTTGTTAATATCAAATTGAATGGTTGTTGGTATAATTTTACACAGTGGTCCTTGAGATAAGCGCACAGATGTGATTCAAACTCGATTAATCGTTTTAACATAAAAATTGGTAACGTTTGTAATTACAGTTAATGCATGACTATTGTTTACAACAGCCATTTGATTATCTATTATTTTTATATCTATTTGTCATTTGTACAGATATAATTTTAATATCACTAAGATGAGTATAATTTTAAATATTACTACAATTCGGCTGAACCATCTTTGTTTTGGTACTGAAACATTTTTGTGTCCCTAATCGTGCTTAATTCGCTTTTGGCTGAAATTTTATGTGTACAAAATTATGGCTGTAAATGTTACTTTAAATTGTAATTATGGAAATACACGATTGCAATATTGCTAGGGTGGTTCACTGGGATTTCTGGTAAGTTTATTTATTAAGAAGCAAAACATACCAGTACCATTTTTAATGAATGGACTTAAAATCGGTATTGTCGTCTAATTTTCTTAAAGTCAATACAAATTTTCAATGGATATTTTCAAAAAATTATACTCATGTCGGATTTTAAGGAAACAGAAACCCAAAGCTTCATTGATCAACCAAGACGAACTGATTCAAGTGATTGGTGACCTTTCAGGTGGAGTGAGAGGTAGAGAAGGAAGCGGTGAGGCAGCAAACGGACATGTGGGCGCCGAACGATTGAGCCACTCACTGCCAGGCAGTCCAGCGGACCGTAGAGCCGTTCCCTTCGAAGTAGTCGGTTCTGCGGAAAGCCTCGTCGGTCGCATCCTAGCCGAGCAGGGCTTGGGTAAGTACTGCGATCCGGACTTCGTGCGCTATACCTCCAAGGAGATGCAAGAAGCATTGGACATGACTCAAGAGGAGATGGACCGCGCGGCCCACCAGATCCTCCAGCAAGAGAAACTCATACACCATCCGTTGCATCCGGCGCAGGCGCAGCAACAGCTGCAGTCGCAGCCGCAGCAGCACTCATAGCAATTTCCAATTCGTAATTTGTCATTTGAGTGTCCAATTACCTCCGCCACACTACCAAGTGCCTAAATTTATTTCTTCTGGTCCAAGGAAGACTTTATATATTAATTAATAAGGTGTAGTTTTTTAACCCGGATTATTTTATTCATGGAAGGATTGTTTCTCCAATTGCAAAATTACCTAATGTACAGGGTGTGAATTATGAAATGAACTGTCATTATAATTTACCATTTTCTAATATCAAATGTGTCAAAATATGAATAACAATAACAATAAATATTACTTTTCAATTTTCCTGTTCATTTTATTCATTTCAAATTAGAACCTTATTAAAAGGGTTGAAGAATTTAATAGCTGCATGTAATCAATTTATACAGACTCCAGGTAGCCTAAGATGATGTGAAAAACAAAATAAAACTGCTATGCATATTTTGCAGGAGTTTTCAGGGTAGATTAACAATTTAGGACTAATTTTATTGGTGAAATTGGTGTAAAATGATAATTAATTAGGTAATAAAAGCGTAGTTAATATAATCGTTCCTATTTCCTTTAGCTGTTATTCATTAAAGCGGCATTCCTTATTATTATGAAATTGGAGAAATTATGGTTTTATTCGAATGAATTATACATGGTACATAAAATTTAAATTGAATACCACAAGGCAGTGAACTTTAATTTGATTGGTAGATTTTTGGATTAATTATGAATAATGTTTCATGAAATCAAAAGTTGCGATCTAAGAAGCGACTTTACAATTAGTCATAAAATATAATGATTCGTGAGTCAACAAATAATACGAGTAAGTACAACGTACAAAACAGTTGTGGTTTTTAATTGGATTCTCCTTAATTTAAACGAGTCAAATTAAAAAAATGAAATAGAACACTCGTATAGTCTCTTCGTAGTAATTTTTCTCTGCCTAGTTGTTAGTTGATACAACACTAATAAACGTTTCCGCTGCTGACAACAAAGCCCCTATTTAGTTTTGAGCAGATGGTATATGTAAGTAGGTAGAATAATGAAATATGTTTACATATTATTAAAGTCTGTTAACTAGGCAACTCGGTGCACGCACTTGCGGTGTTACGCGACAATCGCTAGTTTTTCGAACCACGCACTCTTTTTTTCGAATTAAGATGAAGTGAAATGAGCGTTAGAAATCGGTTTTGTGAAAAAGTGAGTATGTATACATAGGGGGCAAAGGTAAAAGTCGTCACGTGTTAGACCAGCCCGACCTCTCCTCCGACTCTGCCATGGTATGGTGCGGCCCCGGTCTGGTGCGTGCTGCTGGTCGGCTGTCGGCTGGTCGGCTGATCGGTTTGCCTTCGTCTACAGTGAAAATATTATCGACACTATTTTTAATATGTATGAACTCTGTTTTATATAGTTTGTGTTGTTGACAATCACTATACGCATTCATAATTACAAGGAGGAAGATAATATTCACAATTAATTAAGTAGACTAAAGTCAACAGCCGACAACAGAATGCTCGCATACACGACTAGTGAGATTTTTAATGTTATAACTTCTAATTCATAGGAATTACTTGTTGGTTTTTTAATGTTATATCTTCGGCTCGATATTTTAATTCGACAAAACCGTGCTTTGATTTTAAATTAAGTGCATTAACTCGTGATAAATTGAAAAAGAGGTATGTATTGTAATTTAATTCTTACTACTTATACGAATAATAAAGGTATTGTTTTCTATTTACAGTTGTGCTTTATACATTCGTTTTTTACGTCGACAAATTCATGCTAATTTATATTTTTACTGACACACCTAAAACCCATTATTTTAACAGAAATCGGTGTTCGTTTGAACGTTTAATTAATTTAGGCGCGGATTATAGGGGAAATCGCGAACGGGGGGGGGGGGGAGAAAAGTAAAAATTTTAGTTCTAACATTCTGTTATAGTTACATACATACACATACATACATTTATCTCAACTATGGTTTTAATATTTATTATACTAAGCGTGCATATTTATTTTATCTAAGCCAAATATTGTTATCGTTTATAAGGGGCTGTTTATTTACGCACAAAATGTAATTCATCAACGTCGGATGAATGTACGTGCTTTGATAAAATTATAATATTTAAAATCAAACCGTTACTTTCCACGAATAACCGGACTATTGATTATAAAAATTAAATTTATGTACGTAAAAACAAGTCTCTAATATTGCATTTAATGATATTAGAATAATTAATTTTGTAAATACATATCGCCATTTCAATGGAATAACCTTAGGAATACATTATCACCAAAAATGACGTCATTTTTAAATATTAGTTATTCAGTTTCACCTTCTATCAATTTTGTAGGTGTTGCTGCATTCATAGAAACACGCTTGTAAAGAACTCGTTTTATTTTACAGATAAATAATATAATATGGATTCAAAATCTCATCTTCTGGTAAATTCAAAAAATGAGCAGTATTAACCAGTATCAGGATCTACTTAACTATTTAGAGGAATCTCAGGTAAATACAATTTAAATATAATTAATTAGATTGTCCATAACTTTCAAATTGTTTATTATTATTTAAAATAAATCTGAAATTAAGCAAGCAAAATTAAAATTATAGCTTATAAAAGGAAAGCCAACAGGAGTGAATAATTTTTGAAGAAAAAATATTAACAAATACTCTTGTTTATTTATTAACTATTAGTGATTGATAAAGAAGAAAAATCTCTGCGTTATAAATTCATTAATGTCTGATTCTATACTTTTTTCCTCGCGCTGCGAAAAACGGTGCATCATCCGCCAAAACATCTCTAGTATCTCTTAATTGGGTTTCCAACACATTTCCGACTTCTTTTTTCCCTCTGGATATAAAGAACGGATCATCTGGCTGATAGTTCTCTCCTCTGATGAGAAGACAATACGGTTCTTCGGCGTACAGAGCTTCACTCATGTATGTGGGATCCCTTTTTCCTCTATTAGCCCAAAACGGTCCCACATCTTCCACCACGAATCTCTTCAATACGCAGTTGTCGCCTTCACATTCGCCACTAACGTTATCACCATCACCTTTTCTGAACAACCGTATGTCATGACCTTGATGAAACTGCGATCTTCGAGGATCCTGAGCCTGAAATCCAACAAATTCGGTTGAACTCTGGCAAATCGAAGATGCTCAAATTTAAATTGCACCGAGAATTTAATATCAAAATCATAGAATCAAAAAATTTACTTACACTTAACGTAATAAACAGAAGTAAAAACCACATTAAAAAACAGGACATTGTTCACGATGAACTAAGGGAGTCTGCTGTCGTACTGTAACGCAGCAGTTCAGCCACCACCTTAAATACTCCATGTTGTGGTCTCCAGAGCAGAAAAATTGTAATAGCCGCAGGTCAACATGGATTAGAATCGGGAATAAGGGAATTGTACATTTTTCTAGATATATTTACTCAGTATTGACCATTTTCTTTGGAATAAGAAATCTTTTTACGTACTAGGTGAACCGAATTAACAAATAAATATTTTTTTATATAAGAGGTAGATAAATCCTATCTACAATCTAGAAAATCTAGCTATATTAATATTACATATTATACCATATTAGTTCTCGTGGATGAAACACAAAATACTCCAATGGTTCTCTAATTATCTTTTTCTTTTAATAAGGAGTATTGCTGTTTAATTGAAATCTATCTAGAAACTATATTAATCTATATTAACTATATTCTCTAAATATCTTGGTATATATTTTTAATGGAATCATGAGGCTCACCTAGTATATGACTTTCTATTTTTAATATAATTTCGTTTCAGAATGAAATTGCCAAAGTCTTCGAGGTATCCAGTAAAAACGAAAATAGTGCAAAGGAAAAGGAGCAAGACGAAGATAGGGATCCTGACGACGACTTAAATTGTTTAATAAAACTAAATGAAAAAATTGAATCTGATTTAATAGAATTGTTGTCGAAAAGCAAATTCAAATCGCAACAAAATGGATTCGACAACGGATATTTTCCAATAAACGGTCAAAATTCGGATGCTGAGCAATCAAGTTTATATTTGGTAAGAAAATAAGTTTGATGTTACTTCATTTACTTCATTCCATAATTCCTGGTTCTTTTACCCAACAAAATGTATCTTCCTCTTCTTGATCTGCCACTACTACGGCTAGCATTTCATTGATTAGCAACCAAATAGTTTTTAATTTATATTTTTAAGAATTATGAACGGTCAGTGATTGACAGAAGTACTCAAACATCACCACCTTCCCTCTCTCTAAGTTCAACCAATCTTACATGGGGTTCGAGTTCATCGTCATCTCCATGCCTTTCGTCTCCATCGACATCAGATTTAGAAGAATATACGAACGACATAGTAACACTAACAGATGTACCAAATATACCGGAGAAAAAGACATATTTGGGTTGCAGATTTTCGTCTACACCAATATTAAAAACCAATTACAACCAGGTAATTTTTGGGAATTAACAAACATACCTTGTAACAAAATCTATTCGAGTGTTAACATGTGATAATTAATCGTGCGTAAGGGAAGTAAAGGTACACAAATCCTTTGAACTCTATAACTGGGCGTTATCCAGAAGGGTGACCATGCATGATTGATTTTGTAATTTCAGGTGAACAAGCAGAGTCGTTCGCAGTCCGATCGTCGCCTAACTGGTGAGTAGATCATTGCGAAATAGCAATACTCCAACACCGTAATGTCGATACGAGTTAAAGAGTACAAATTTTTTCGTAGTCTAAGCGTTAAAGTTAATGATAATTGGCCGGTTCGTAAAGCCGAGCAACTATGGCGGCAAATGCGAACCCATAAAATCGCAGGTTTGTTTTACAAGCCCCGAATTCCTTTCAATGTTTCACCTTGGAAAAAGAATTTAACGCGAATAAGAATCTCTTTTTACTTTATGTAATTTAATTTAGATGTTTCATTCCCTTTATTGTTTCCTTGTTGTTTGTTGTAATCATTCCTTATTCGTTTAAGCGTTTCTGTTATTTTTGTTTGCTTTTTTTAGAAATCGAAGCTGCAGAAGCTTGTAAGTGGCTTCGTGCGACTGGTTTTCCGCAGTACGCTCAGTTATACGAAGGTAAAACATTCCTAATCAATTAAAATTGACATCTGAAATTTTCCAATTTCTGTTCAGATAATCAATTCCCAATAGAAATATCTACGGTTGCGCAAGATCATCCATTATTAGAATCGGATATTTTACATTCGTTGTTTAGAAGATTGCAGATATTAAACAGTTGCGCTCATTTACATCAGCAAAAGATCGTTAATACAGAAGACGAATCTGAAGATGAATCTTGTGCTTTGTCAAATAATTGGACATATCAGGTCGATATTAAAAGATGGTCTCGAAATTGCAATAAAGTACCAACATGTAAGTTTCACTCTATACTGACAAATTCCTCTCCTCTAGAGATTTTTAACCTTTAAGTGTTGAATTATTATCCTGTATGTTTCTGTAGCAGACTATGAAAGCGCGTCGAAAGATCCGGAAATTACCAAAGATACGCAAAGGGATAGGAATAAGGCAGAAGTAAAAAAAGTTGGTAGCATTAGAGAATCCAGTCGCAAGAAGACGCCGGCAATAGTTGAGAAGAATAACGCCGCAGAGCATTCTTCGCAAATAAGTCGTTTAAAACTAGCCGAGTTTAGGCATTCTTCAGATTCCGAAGAAACTCCGAGGACATCTAGAAGAGTCAGAACGCAATCGCTCGATAAAACTGATAGTTGGTCAACCACCAACATCAAAATCAATAGGTATGAGCTTGTGTTTAAATACCTATGCATTTAGTGTCTATTTTTGGAATCATCATTTCAGATTAATTTGGTCGAATCCATTGGAACACGAACATGTTTTCTTAGAAGACGATACTGACATTCCGCAAGATATTGAAGGTCCTCCTTTGTACCAGTTGTGTGCTTCACAAATTCAGGTTTTGAGGAAATTGGCGCTTTTAAAATTAACTGCTCACATGGAGAAATACTGCCCCGCTCATAGAACTGGGTGGACTTGGGATTTGCCGAGATTTTTTAGGAAAATGAAGTCACCGATTTACAAAGGTACTGATTTACCAGCGACAATACCATTCACATTGACTTGATTCGTTTTTAGACAGGCACGTTTTCGGCGTTCCTTTAATGGTAATATTCCAGAGATGTGGGAAAATTCTGCCGAGGCACATCGAGGAAGCCATGCAGTGGTTGCAAGAAAACGCTTCGGATCAAGTCGGAATATTCAGAAAATCCGGCGTTAAATCGAGGATCCAAATGCTCCGCAATAAAATAGAATCCAACTCGATGATTGACTATACTGAACAACAATGCTACGATGTTGCCGATATGCTCAAACAGTATTTCCGCGAGCTACCCGAAATGCTTTTCACTGCTAAATTATCCGAAACGTTTGTTCTAATATTCCAGTGTAAGTAAAAGCAACGAAAGTCTCCCAACCTCGAGGTTACTTAAAATATCAAACTCGTATTGATGTTAAAATGTTGCAGATATTCCGGCATTCTTGCGTCTCGAATCGGTTATATGTGCTATAATTTTAATGCCGGAGGAGCATTCACAAGTGCTGCAAGCGTTGCTTCACTTCCTGTTGATCATCGCTAACAAATCCGACGTGAATCAGATGAATGAGCACAATTTGGCTATGTGTTTAGCCCCGACGTTGTTTCACTCATCTTGTCTCTACAAGCACGTTGGAGGGTCTCCTCATTCGAAAGAATTGGCGGAAAACAAAGCTGCACAAGAATGCCTGTTCTTCTTCTTGAAATTCTTCCACATACTTTTCAAGGTACTTAATTTTGGAACCCTTAATTTCTCAATTTTAATCCGGACGGTTTTCAGATTCCCAAAGATTTTATAAACCAATGCAATTCGAGCGAAATCAAAGAAATCAAACCAAAACAGCTGACAGACATCGGTGATGGTATTGGGGGTTGGAAAGAATATTTGAAAGAGTGCCACAAGAATTTGTTGAAAGAAGTCAAAGAGAAGTCGCGTGGTTGGATGCCGATACCAGTACAAAATTCTTTAGCCACGCTCGCTTCCAATTCCAAAATAGCAGTATTTTACAAGAAAGTAGCCGATGGAATGCCGTTGAGATTATGGAAAGTCGTTGCAGATATCGAAGCACCACCTGCAGAGGTGGCGCACAGGATTCTTAGGGAGCGTCATATTTGGGATTTCGATCTGATTTCGGCCAAAATAATCGCCCAGTTGGATCAGCAAACAGAAATCTTCCAGTACATAAGGAAAAAAGTAACGCCCATTCCGAACGAGGAATACTGCGTTATAAGAACGTGGAGATCTGATTTACCAAAAGATTCTTGTACAATAATAGAAACTTCAGTTGAGTATCCCGGGACCATTCAAGTTCCTGGTTCAATCAGAGGTATAGTTTTAGCTTCGAGGTACCACATTGAGCCCTGTGGATCAGGCAAATCGAGACTCATACACTTCTCTCGAATAGATACAATGTCAGTTTCATTCTTATTTGAATTAGGCCAATATTTAAATACTTTGTTTTTAGGGGAAGAAGCCCGGAATGGTACCAAAAAAACTATGGATATTTGAGTGCAGTTTTTATAAGAAATTTACAAAATTCATTTTACCAAAACACAAATTGTCCGGAGAGCCAGGTATAAATACCAAAGAGTTTATTTTATATAGTTTTGTTTTACATCACATGACAAAGTCTCAATTTGTATTTTTATAATAGTCCAAATCTGTTTTTAATATTGTGTATATATATATTTTTATATAGTTAATAAATATGACTTATTGTTCTTTTTTACATAATTACTTAATTAAAGTACCCGTCTTTTTAATAATTTAAATTAATCCAATATGAAGGAAGTGGTTAAAATTAACAAAAATAGATATTCTAGAGGTCAAGTTAGAATGCGCCTTTAAATGTCAATTTTTTGTTCAATATTCAAAATGTCCCGTGAGTAATTCGAAATATAATCATTGTTGACCTTTTTCATAGAGGGCACCAAGTGCTTCTTTCATCGTTTATGTATGTTCTGTGTCTTTCATTGTATATTCTTGAAGTAGGCAAAATGTATTTCATTCATACCAATGATTTCAGAAATAAGTAATTTTAATATAATATCTTGTACACATTACACATATGTTTTTTGAATTAAATTTAAAAACCATCGTAATTCATTATTAACAAGTATTAAAATTAAAATTTTTAGTTGGTCTCAATTTTCCATAAAAATTAATAAATACTTTAAAATACAGTTTGTTGATCGAACATCAAAGTTTGCCGATAATTTTTAAGGGTTTCCAGGAGAAATGTGACAGAAAAAATAACAATTTAAGTAAACATAATATGTATTTAATATTAATGCATATGTATAATCTTATATTTCTATTTTGAGATCGTCTTGCTTCCGTTTATGCAACCATTATCTAATAAAACACAGTTGTGTTCCTTTACATGCGGTATGTAAGTATGTAAGAAAATCCTATTTGTGAATCCGTTCCCCTTCTGGTTTTACGTTGGCCTAATGGCTACTAGGTCAGAATGGTAACTAGTGTTGTGTCGTAGGTCAACACCAATATTTATGGAACCGTCGCTGAGGTCTTGAATGCGAGGACGTCTGGGTCGCTTGTGATGGGTAGTAGGATGACATCGGCAGTCGCAGTGCATAACGCACAAAGCCACAGATGTGGCCAACGTTATTACAAATGGTACGGCGAAATAATGGATTATAATTGCTATTTGTTCGTCCCTTTCGTAATGAGTCAAAACTACGGTACGATTCTCTCGGGAATGATAACAAGGAAATTCTGTACCCTCTACTCCATACGTTTCTGTGAAGTTCATGCACAGAACCGTCGGAGGATATCCACAACCTTTAATATTTACCAACAGCACTGCGTCGTCTGTTTGATTATACGGTTGTATCTAAAAATTACAAAAAAAACTATCAAACACCAGGTTTATTCATTGGAATTTCTACTTTAAACAAAATAACTAAAAATTAACATAAAACAAACTAAAACCAATATAAATTTCTAACCTTTGTATCGTTGTAACTGACGTAAATGTGCGTACAATGATAAGCATCACTAGTACAACCTTCCCTACAGGAACTCCATGAACAATTCGCTAAACCAGTGAGTTCTTCTATTCTCGTTGTTATACAAGTGACAGGCTCAGTAACGAAATTTGATGCTAAAGTAGATATAGCTGGATCAACATATAGAGGTACCAAAAACAATAAAGATGATCCAGCGGACATTGCTAGTACTGCTAAAATGCTTGTTGAATAAAATATTGCTTGTTCTCGGCATGATCTGCCAGCTGCTATTTTTGATTTTTTAGCGGCTGCTAATTCCTACAAAGATTATTATTTCAAACAATAAACTAAATAATCACAATAATTGAGCAAAAATCAATGATTTTTTAAGAAAATTCTAAATGCTGTACAACACATGCTATTATTGATAGATAATCGTTTGCCCTATTGGCACACATAGCGATCCCTCACCTTAATTTTTTGTCTACGAAGCTCCTCTTGTTGATCTAGGAGCAGTTCCGAACTACTGCTCCTCATTTTAACAACAAATCTATGTCATTTATATTAATTCAAAATATTCTTTTCGTATCACAATATTATTGTCATAAAAAATCGAAGTGCAACTCGACGAAAGGAACAACGCAAGCTCACAACATTTTGGGATTTCCACCCGGCCTCCTTAATTTCACAGGTCTGCGCCTGCGCTGGCTCTATAGGAATCAGGTTAGCAGGATTAATATTTCATTTCGCCACCCCCGCACACTAGGAATGGCTTACTAAAAATGATAATCATCGCTTTTGTATTTGACTAATTTATTTGAATTCACTCTTTCACTACCAACAGCAAATTATCATTATTTATGCAGTAATGTTCGAAATGTTATTAATTACGTCGTACAGTTTACCAGTAAAAATAAATTACATATTTCTTCAAATATATTGTATAGGTATACGTTATAAATAAAAACACAACTCATAATAATAACACAAGTATTATTAATACTGTATTACCGCATTAAGACAGATACCTACCCTTAATTACTCTTTTTGAACTTATATTAGTTGATTTTATTTTTATAAATTTAATCGCATGCTAATATTTTATTATCAAAGAAATCTAGAAAATTATTATAAATTCATTCATTCATGCATTGGTTCTAACAAAAATACGTAAGCATATCCAATAAAAGCCCAATCGATAATGATAAACAGTAGGTGACATCTAAAAAAAATAAATTATTTGCCTATGTTATTATTATTAAATACATATAGCAATATCTATAAAGCATGTGTTAAGACAAACCGGAAAAATTTATCATTAATTATATTTCCACCATATGGCCAAAAGAATTAATTTATTCTACCAAATAATAAAATTTACTGATAAAATCGAATAAGCCCCCTATATAAGCAACGGGCCCACAATAGAGTTTACTTTTCTTTGTGCATGACAACGTAACCGAAGGTAAGTGTATTTTTTAATTATTCTAATTAACATTTGATTGACATACAAAAGAAAAGTTATTTTTTCACACTCGAAAGTGTTTCAGTTATATTTAAAGAAACAATGAATTGTCATTTTATAATAATTTTCTTGAAGCCCATTTTGTTTCACTTATAAAAATTACTTAGTCATCAATTAATTATTACATTTTGGTATTTATTTACTTCTTTCAGAAAAATGAAGCTGCTCCTACTATCCCCAGTTTTATTAATTTTTGTGTTAAATGAATCCTGTTCACGACAAATCAACCCCAACGTTAGAGCTTACTCCAAATTCAATCAAAAACAACTATACGAAATGCTTAAAACCGGGAAGCTTCCCCTTGGAAAGAAAAATTGCTTTCTGTTTATGGGAGAAAGCTGTGCAAACAGGGGTATTCCTGGTTCAGGCGCTGATAGCGATTGGTTAAACAGCAATTTTGTCCCTGGAAAAAGGTATCCTCATGCTGGGGTGTTTGGAAGGATCAATGCAGGTTCCACACCCCACAAAAGACGTTTTAGGATGAATTTAATAGGCGATAGCAACAGAGCTATACCTGGAGCAGGCTCCGATATAGAATGGATAAGCAGTGGTAACGCACCAGGCAAACGACGCATTTTAAGGTGTTTAAATATGATGGGAGAAAGCTGCGAAAATGGAGGTGTTCCTGGTGCAGGCGGGGATGACGAATGGATAAACGGTGGCGGATCATTTATCGGCAAAAGAAACTTAGGAGACTCATGTTTGAACACCATGGGAGATAATTGCGATAACGGTGGAGTTCCTGGAGCTGGTGGAGATGATGATTGGATTAATGGTGGAGGCACTCCAGGTAAAAGAAGCCTGGGAGATTCGTGTTTGAACACCATGGGAGATAATTGCGATAACGGTGGAGTTCCTGGAGCTGGTGGAGATGATGATTGGATTAATGGTGGAGGCACTCCAGGTAAAAGAAGCCTGGGAGATTCGTGTTTGAACACCATGGGAGATAATTGCGATAACGGTGGAGTTCCTGGAGCTGGTGGAGATGATGATTGGATTAATGGTGGAGGCACTCCAGGTAAAAGAAGCCTGGGAGATTCGTGTTTGAACACCATGGGAGATAATTGCGATAATGGTGGAGTTCCTGGAGCTGCTGAAGATAGTGCTTGGATAAATGGTGGAGGCACTCCAGGTAAAAGAAGCCTGGGAGATTCGTGTTTGAACACCATGGGAGATAATTGCGATAATGGTGGAGTTCCTGGAGCTGGTGGAGATGATGATTGGATTAATGGTGGAGGCACTCCAGGTAAAAGAAGCCTGGGAGATTCGTGTTTGAACACCATGGGAGATAATTGCGATAATGGTGGAGTTCCTGGAGCTGCTGAAGATAGTGCTTGGATAAATGGCGAAGCTTCTTTCATCGGCAAAAGAAATTCGCTTTCATTACCTCAGTAACAAACACATAATACATTCCACATTTGATTTAAAGCATACTTTGATGTATTGCAAATATTGCAAATTGTTTTTTATTACAAATAAAGTATTTAAATTCGTGATTTAATAATATTTCGTTACACATTTTGTAGTTAACTAAGTAAAGTTTATAATATATTTTAATATACGATATTAACCTTAGAACTTGATTTTTATTGACAAAATAAAATATAGGTACAATGGACTGCATTGAATCTCTTTGTGCAGGCAATCATAAAAGATTTATTCAACTGAGAACATCCCATTAATTAGTCAGTAATGATTAATAGTTTTAGTACAGTAATTTTATAGACAATTAGTAGTTTATGTGCTTACCTTTACAGTCTCGTACTTTCACGGTTGTTATACGAACATACCAAATCTTAAGAACATCCTTCATTCTCAAAGTTTTTATGCTCATAAAAATGTCGGAAAATAACATTTGCATTCTGACTTCATTCTCTTCTTTAATAAACTAAATAATTAATTAGATAATTAATTAGATACTTATTTAGGTACTTAAAGTGATAATTAGATTGTTTGAAATTTAGTAAAGCAAAAAATGTACAAAATCGTTGGCTAGTAGTGTTAGTACTAATTTATCTAAAACACTATGTTAATAATTGATAATTTTAAGTTTAGAATACGATTAACTCTTTTACAAGCAAAAATAAGAGAGCTTGAAACAATAAATGCTCTTGTTAGTTATCCATTTCGAATCGAACTATTACGGTCGTGGGAAAATCTTTTTCGCAACTTTAGCAATCGTACAAAATTACTTGCCGTGTTTTATTATAAAAGTCCCGATCGATTTCATCTACGGGGTCGTAATTGAGTAGGCGTAGATTCAATTTGATTGAATTCGACCACAAAATGACAGATATATTTTTTTATTAACTAGTATATCGGAATTAAAAAATAACGTTGAGTAAATATTAAAGGTATTGCTGATGCGAATTAACAGACAATAAATAATTTTACTGTGAAATCAGAAGAATTCAATATTCATCGGTGCTAAATAGAATTAAGGTCATAGCTATTTAATAGTAATAATCTATCATCAAAGAAGTGTTATATTTTATAGGCCCAGAATGCAAGGAAAATAAAATGGAACGGAAAAATCAATTGGAAAGTACACAACAATGTGCGTGGAGAAATGTTATGTAATGACGTAGCGACAAGAATGATCAATTACTCTTTTACTAAAGAGTATCAATGTACAATTTTTTAATAAAAACGCTTCATTAGTAAAACAAAGAAAATCGATGTTACTTACAGTTGGCGTGTGTGTTAAAATTTGCTTTTGATTCAACTTGAAAAATATAGGATGAGTTAAGTGCACTTCTGAATTAACGAATATTTTGTAACGTTTACGGTACTGTACTGGTATTGTGTTGTAAACACAATTATGAACAACTGGAAAATAGCAAAAAAGGTTAACTAGCCAAGAGAAATACAGTGATTTCAAACATCTTTATCAAACAGTTGGGAATAACTGCTATTTTTTTTTTGAAGCAGTACAGTTAAATGAGCGAAATATTACGTTGTGATAGAATTAATTGATTGTTTTCATTTTCTAAGCATTATTTTAAAATACGTTTAAGCAGAAGATCAGCTTTTGCATTAGAAAATAAATAATTTTTATTTGCGGCACTGTCCTATTATAAACACATATGGAATATTTATTTTCAAATACCCTACACGAAAGAAAAAAAAATGAATCATCCAACAAAATAGGAAATGAATTAAATAGCAAAAAATTTTAATAAAACCCAGTGATTATTTCAATAAAACAGCAATCAATATATGTATGCTCTCATACGCAATTTTAAGATACAATTTCATCTAAAAACCTATAAGGAAATTCGTCTATTCATGCTCGTATGAAGATCAGAATGCAACAATTATTGTTTTTTACTTCTACATCGTCGGTCAGTGAATCGCTAACGATTCGAGTTGGTCGTTTTTGCAAATAATTTTGTTCATTTCATATTTATTAAAACGGAAGCCATTTCGATTATCATCCTTCGTTTAACACTCCATTATACATTCATGGAAATTGACTCTAGTTTTTGCGACACTCGTCCTTTTTTCTTTCTGTTCGTTTCCCATTCAATTCCATTAACATGACAATAGATTTTTATTGATTCAATCATTCGAATGCATTCATTCCGTAATCGATAAATAATCTTATTTTTTTGAAAAAATACAATATAAAAATCGCTCGACGATAGATATAAATTGTTGCGTTTAAAAAAATCGTTTTCAGCTAAAAATGGAATAATAGATAGAATAACGCAAAGCGTTGGGAATTTTTCTTCCGGTTACATTAGAGCTTTATTTGGCAGGCAAATTTTAATATAGAAAGATTACTATTGGCTCATCTGAATACGGTACCTCCAGCTAGGAAGTGGGTTAGTTTCAGCAACGCTGCATCGGTACATATTGCATAGAGCTTCTTCTTGGCGACAGACCTTCTTAGGCCTTCGACTTAGGTATTCTATTCGGTACTCTCGCAAGTCGAGAACGATCGCGCGCAAAAACCCACTAAATCGTTCAATTCTGAAAGTTTAAGCGGCACCGCGGAAATTATTACACCTAGTCCGTGGTCCTGTGAAATTTTTGGAAATACCGCGGGCGCGAAAATGCGAGCGTTTTTATTTATCGGTTTCCTGTGCGTCGTCAAAGTCGAATCTCAGTTTTGGAGCAACCCTAATTTTTTTCAAAGCTGGTTCAGGCAGGCGAAAAACGATTTAAAGCGCGAAACCACCACAAAAATTCCAACCACAATAAGACTGCAGGAAACTACCTTAAAATCGGAAACTGTCACGAAATTTCCATCTACTGTTCCTGTCTCGGTGGAAACTACCCCTAGAAAATTACTAACTGTTACGTCGATTGTTACTTCTACTGATGGAAGTACTATCTATGATACTACTAGTGATATCACAGGTACCACCGAAGAACCTAGAGATAACAGCAGAACACATGATTTTTATTTAAGCAAAAGGGAGAGACCACAAATTAAAGTATCAACGAATATTAGCCAAGTAAGTAAATTTTAAAATTTAATTTTTAATTCCAAATAAATATAAGAGAGGCATGTTATACTTCTAATTGGAATACTTCTTAAAATAATTTTTAATAATTATAATAATTATAGTGAACATAAAATAATTAGATTAATTTTAAGCACTATTTTTAAAATTTTCACCAAATCATATTCGCTAAATACACTTTCTCTATCAATTCAAATAATTTCTCCGATTTTTTTACCGCAATAAATTTGTGTATTTTGCGAAGCAAAAGTTAATAGTTGTTAAAGATTATCATGTCAATGGGGGCCAATTACGCGGCAATCTCGTTGGAAAATAATAGTTTTTAATGAACATTATTCTGCAAACTTTTATGTTTGAGATGGGATGTTGAATACAGGCTCGGTTGTAGGAGGAATAACACTCTTGTAGCCAAAAAAATGAGTGTAAAATTTCCTTACCCCGCCTACGACGCTCGATCTGATTAATATGCAATATTAATTAATGACTAATCACGTGTCGAGATTACAGGAAAGTAAGGCGATGCGACGTTAAAAACGTTTCGTGAAAAATTAAACTAGTTTGTAGGATGAACATTCGTCCCCTTGGGACAGTCCTGTTCGTAATAGCGATAAATTATCTGGCTCAAATCAGATGTGCATACGGAGCAGAAATGTCGGCCCCAAGACTGAACCCTGTCTAACAAATAATTCAGATAATGATCGTTCACGTGTTAGGTGGGTTTCGGTGGATTTTACGAGTTATTCCTGACGACGACGTCATCTCTAGATATCCTTTGTTAGTTCATTATAATATTACAGGATCGAAGCCTCCTACCACGTAGGAAAAATGAAAATAAAATTATTATATCATCGTGTAAAATAAAGATTTTTTTATTGCAAGTGTTATTTCTGCACAGTTCAATATGCGGTTTCCGTAAACATAAATATTCTACTTATACGTTTGAAACCAAGAACTAATATTAATAAACTAATAAACATTTAAATGTAGACCGCATGAAAGATTTCCTTCATCATCTCGTACAAGTTTATTTATTCTCCTTTAAACACTAAAAAGTGCCTAAGGACCTAAAAAGCCAAAAAAGGTTTGCTGTATTATCCTGTATATGTAGCAGTCGTGATGGTTGAACGCAACAAAGGATATCATAGATCAAAATACCATTTTTGAAGCGATTTTCTCAATAATGAAGAAATCTATCCAGCAATGTCATGAAACGGATTTATTAACTTCCATATACAAAACGCGTAATGAGAAAGGACTTTCTTCCGCCAACGTTTATAACAACCTGGGTATCCATTTATCTAACTTAAACTACCAGAGTAATTCAAAATATTCAGTCCGTAGTAATTGGAGGACAATTTTAACGACAAAGTTATTATGTAAATGTAATGAAATAAATAAAGCCAAAGATAAAAGGAACAAAAGAGGAATTATCCTATAAAATGAAATAAAAAAGTTATGTTTTTCTTATTCAATATTCCTAACATCTTCTTTACGCGAATTACCTGAATCATAAATTTGTTACTCAGTATAATGTTAATGAACAAATAAAACTACCATGTTCAAATAAATGATTATTGTAAAACCGTTTATAGGCAATTAAGTTTTGTGGAGTTCTCTTTGAGCACACACGGTATCTGCTTTGAAATCCTGTCTTCGCATTGCAGTAGGTGTTAGAGAGCGGATACAGTTTATATGAATTGTAAAACATATCTCGTTAGTTTTCTCAGTGGTACGTTTTCCTATTAAAATTAGTTATGTGTTGTTCTTGTATCTGTCGCATTCTGCTTCAATTGTCAAACGTTATAAATGGTCTAAACACTGTTTCGATTTTTCATTTCAACTTTATTTATACGCAACACGCTCGAGCAATCCCTGCTAATTAGCAAATTTATAACTTCCTCTTTTGTTCTCATTCTTAAATATCCTCTCAGTAATTAGTCTATAATGGAGATGTTTTTTCACTAAATTCATTACTTATCGTAATTGCTGTATAGTAATGAAGGTAGAACAATTTTCGTTTTGTCATTCCGAGTATGAGTATGATGAGAAAACAAATATAATTTACTAGTAGGATGCACTTAAACAGTGTAGCAAAAGGATTGCTTTGCTAACAAACGTTTAGTGTTTTGTTTCTGTTGTTTTCTTGGAAAATATTCGATTTTGCATAGAATCGAACAAAGAGCTAGTACTTGGATACTATATAGACCGTGTGATGTACGTATATAAATTAACCTCGAAATGTTAAGTACCTAAACGAGTATTTAAATGTACAGCAACGGCTGTCGTGTTGGGAAAGGTTATGCACTCTTACAGGGTGTAACCTCGGCCGGCTTAATAACCATTTTAACGGGAATAAATCGCTATTTAAGACAGTATTTAGTGTCAAAAGTTTGATGTATTCACGCATAATAGACAGGATGATTATTTAGTTGCGATATAGTCAATTTAATGAAATAATGTGGAAATTATTTGTTAAATAATAAACTATAAATTCTGCTATAAATCCGCTCACAGACGGTAATGTAATACCTATCTTACCAAACACAGTTAACGTACACTTAAGAAATTCTTTTGTGGTCAACTCAAATAGGCCGTATTTTACTTAAAACTGTAATATACTTGTCTATAATATCATAATAAATAAGCTAGGCAAATAATCGTTTAAACAAATTGTGGTTCTTTGATATTTTATTTTATTTTATTATTGTGGCTAAGCGTGCAAATATTTTTAACATTATTTTTCATTTTTCAACTCAAATTGTTACCTCCGTACAATTTGAAAATCATGCTATAAATAAGTAAGGAAAAGTGGGTACTCATTGTATTCAAATTGTTGCATTAACTCTACAGGGTCATGTGAAAACATTTCATCTCTGTTGCAGCCCTTTTGTTAAGCAAACCTAATCATTACATATAATCTCATTACTGTGTTTACTAAAAACATTCTGAAATAATTAATAAAAGTATATCTTGATCGACAATTTTTCCAGGTAACTGTAATTTTCTCAACAATTTCTAATTAAAAATTGCAATGCAAATGTGCCGTGGACTAATCCATAAACTTTATGAGAGGTTAAACAAGCAACAATAATAAATCAGATCAAAATGCAAATTGTATTAAAAGTTATTTATTTAAACTGACAACCGAAGAAGGAAATGAATTGTGGGAGATAAAATAAAACCAGCTTGGATGAGCAGAGTCGTCACAACTGCAAATAAATTCAATACTCAATAATTTAACTTAATTGTAGGTGACAATACTAAAATTGAATTTTTTGTCGTTTTTAAAACTGTAAAAACTAACTTTTTTTAATCCATTTCAATTAAATCATTATTGTGTTTAGAAATACATAACAAAATACTATTATTTATAAGGCATAGAAATTTTTTAATTGAATTTTTTTCCTATTGTAAATTGTTAAAAGGTAAGCGGTATTTAAACGATACATACGTTGTAGCTTCGATGCGATTTCCAACTCAGAAATTAAAATAGTAAATTAACGATTTATTACCGTCAGTTTAACAATGCGAGAACTCCTGAAACGAACGCGTACTATTTCTCACCGCTTGAATTTGTCCATTTCAATAAATAACTGTTCGCAGCTCTATAACAAGCAACAAGAAGTGTTTTATAACAATATCTATGAATAAATAATACCTTTCAATGAAGATACAGCTACGATATAAATTAGATTGTTCCTCTATCACTAAATAATATTACCTTCATAATCATTGAATATATTTTAATCACTGCTAGGTACGCATACCTATGTATAACAAAATTGCACTAGTCAATCAAATTGAACTCAATTATTATTTCAATTTGGAGTACAAAACCTAATGAAGCTTAACAAGATAAGTTTTAAGTAGGTTCAAAACAGAATCAACAAATGCAATAACAGAATCAGAAAAAAAACCATAAATTGGCTATATAAATCCAAGTAACCAGCCATAAAAGAAGATTAAGAAGAAGATAAAAATAATAGTCTGACCACAATAATAAAATTACACATGAGTAAACTAAAAAATAACGAATAAAACTCCGAATTTTAAGATTTTTGTATGACTGCGAAACAATCCAGAGAGAGCAGGAAAATAAAATATATATCGAACAGATAATTGTGAAAAATGTTCAATTTTTATTTTGAATTTATGTGAACATGGATCTCGTGAACGAACTTTCGCTATGATTCGAATTCTTTGTTCGGGTACCTATATCGTGCAACTGAATAAATAACGCTACCGTATACAGGGCGATCCTGATTAGAGGTTTTTCACTAAGGGTCAGAGATTAAACGAAGAGCGCATCCTCGACTGGCTCACGATGCTATTGAAACTTAACTGGAGTTGTATAATCTCAAAATAATTACCTCCACGAATTTTCCACCAACGAAAACTTGCCAACGAGTTATTAGCCCAGTTAAATGTGCAAAATTCTTAAATCAATAGGTGCTTCTATTGCGAATGAAGCATAAAAAGGAAACTTTTTTATAAGTTTCAAGAGTTTCGTTTTATAAGTAATAAAAATGCAAAGCAGGTAAATGAGTATCAGCACCAGTTTACGGAATTGATTGATTCAACTCCAGGAGGAGTTGTTCCGAGTAAAATCGTGTGATTGACTTAAGATAAATACAACATCTTCTGCTAGAGGAAGAACATGAATAAAACAATGATGACGAAATGATTGTTAAATCTTAAAAACGTTAATTTTATGTCAGTTAGATCCGAGATTAACGGGAAGTAGGTCAGAAGAACTTAAAATCTTTTTGTGTGCGAAGTAAAAGAGGTTAAAAGCATGTCCAGCACGTTTACTGTCGCGGCCGTTCGTTTTTTTGTTAATGTCACCTTGCGACAAATAATGTTTGAATAATGACTGCGAATTTACGAAGCACAAAGCTCGTCTGTTGGCTTCTTTTACAATGAAGAGCGGCTAATGACAAGGAATTTTCACGTTTTGCAGTCATCGTGCAAGCGTGACTGGAGCTACGTAA